AATAATAATAATATATATGTGAGATAACATTAAGTGGTCTTGCTATGCAGAAACACTTAATAATAATAATATATATGTGAGATAACATTAAGTGGTCTTGCTATGCAAGAACACTTAATAATAATATATATGTGAGATAACATTAAGTGGTCTTGCTATGCAAGAACACTTAATAATATATATGTGAGATAACATTAAGTAGTCTTGCTATGCAAGAACACTTAATAATAATATATATGTGAGATAACATTAAGTGGTCTTGCTATGCAAGAACACTTAATAATATATGTGAGATAACATTAAGTGGTCTTGCTATGCAAGAACACTTAATAATAATATATATGTGAGATAACATTAAGTGGTCTTGCTATGCAAGAACACTTAATATAATATATATGTGAGATAACAATAAGTGGTCTTGCTATGCAAGAACACTTAATAATATATATGTGAGATAACATTAAGTGGTCTTGCTATGCAAGAACACTTAATAATTGACAGGGAGCCGAGGTGCTCATTTCCAGGATAGAACTAAATACAGCAGTAAGGATTTCTATGAAATTTTATTTACATTGTGTGAATACATAAGTGTAACCACTCCATGCAGTGGTGTATTTCCCACAAGGCTAACAAGGCATATGCCTTGGACGGCACTTTTAGGGGGGCGGCAAAAATACCACACTCCAAGAGCCCTGGAAGATGCCCTGTTAGCCTCTTTCACGGTGGGCCTCCCAAGGCTTTCAGATGCTCACATTGCGGGCGATGCCTACCCGCACACCCAACCAGCCCGGGAGCAGCCAGCCCAACAGGAGCAGCAAGCGCAGGAGCAGCCAGCCCATCAAGCCCCACTGAATCTCAGGGAAGAATCCACTTCAGCTCTCCCAAAGGCAGGGAAATTGGGTGGATTAAAATAAAATAAAAAAAATAAAAAAATATATATATATAGATTGTAAGTATGGGAGACAATGTTTACGAGTGTGTCAGTACCAGGGTGTCTATCAGTGAATGTGTGTGTCTCTCTGTCAGTGAATGTGTGTGTGTGTGTGTGTGTGTTTGTCAGTGTGTCTGTCAGTGAATGTGTGTGTGTGTGTATCTGTCAGTGTGTCTGGGAGTGAATGTGTGTGCCTGTGAGTAAATGTGTGTGTCTGGGAGTGAATGTGTGTGCCTGTGAGTAAATGTGTGTGTCTGTGAGTGAATGTGTGTGTCTTTTAGTGTGTCAGTGAATGTGTGTGTGTCTGTCTGTCAGTGTGTCTGTGAGTGAATGTGTGTGTGTCTGTCAGTCTGTGAGTGAATGTGTGTGTCTGTCGGTGAATGTGTCTGTCAGTGAATGTATGTGTGTTTGTGAGTGAATTTTTCCGTGTCTGTCACTGTGTGTGAGTGAGTGCTTTTCTGTCACTGTGTCTGTGAGTGAATGTGTGTGTGTCTGTCAGTGTATGTCTGTGAGTGAGTGGGTGTGTCAGTCAGTCAAACTGCGTGTTCGTCTTAAACAGGGAGGGGCGGGGAAAATTTAGATTGGGGAGGAGGGTGCCTGAATTTTGTCATGCCTAGGGCAGCACATATCCAAAATACACCACTGACTCCATGGCTTCCCAACTGTCTATAATTTAAATTCCTATACCAACATCCCAGTTCCCAAACTCCTGAGCAGGTCCACCACTTTGGGCAACGCCAGTGACAAAGGTTGTGTCACTGGCCTGCCTACCTCATCCCAATTTTCATAGCTCCTATGTTGGGAAGTATGCAACTCCCCTTTAAAAGAAAGTGGGTGTGAACAGGACTTTTGTGCATATGCACAGGTATTTTTTAAACACGGAGTTGTGGACATTTCACAACATGCTTGCAATACTTAGCAAACACTTGGCAAAGTTGGATATTTTATTACAGTTCATCTAATATTATCTAAGTTTTGCACGTCACTTGCAAGAAATCATTGTACCACATCTCACTACTTAAATAAATACCACAGTGTACTTCTGGAAGCTTCAATAAATATTGACCAGAGTAAAAATACAGGATAGGAAACTTCCAATACCCCTCTAGGTGTTGAATGAAAACTTTTCTACCTGTAACCATTAAATCTCAGACTCAATAACGAAATGTGTAAAAATAGGCTTGCTTTTTGCATTAATTATTTTTGGAAGTTTGTCAAATGTAAAAATATGTTTAGTTACACAATGGTAAAATTTAGAGAATAAATTTATGTATAGAAACTGACAAATTACATTATTAGTTCTTCATAGTAAAACATGAAAGCAGGGGTGTTGCAAGGGTCAAAATATATCCCAGGGCTTACGCCCAAAATAAAGCTTGTGACCCTGCTATCCAAAGCCCCAGCATTGACCTGCAATATACACTTCTCGACATACCTTGCTAAAGACACATACACATTCACAGATGCATACATAAAGACACAGACACACACACAGGTAAAGACACAAACAAGTACATACATACTATAAATATAGACAACCAGTCCCTAGCTCCCTACCTGTACCTGTAAACTATTAATTGTGCTCTGTGCAGGGGCTTGGGGAAGGCAGGAAATGGTGGCCACAAACCTCTCTCTGTATAGAAAATATAGAATGAGGGAAAGGACGCAGCTTTTTTGCAAATGGTATTATTTGTTATTTTGCAAATGGTATTATTTATTTTGCAAATAGTATTATTTGTTAGTGTGTATTCTTCCAGAGCACTCACGCTGCCTGCAGCCCAGCTCTTTAGCCCCCAAACATCTGTGGGCCTAATACTGGCAATCTATTCTCCCTGCCTGGACTCTTCTTTGAATCTAAGCTGGTAGCGGAAGGAGCACAAAGATAGATACATGGCAACCATATGCATAACTATCTGAAATGTGGTATCTCCATTCTTGCCTGAGACTCAATGAAGAGACTGGACATGGAAAGCAGCTAGGGAGCAGTAGCCAGACAGAGAATCCGAGCTCCACATCCACCTGCCTGGTCAAGAGATCCTACATTAAGGGCTGTAGTCCCCAGACCCCTCCACTCCAGGGCTGTGCCTGTTTTAAAGGACAATTCTTCTCTATGGTGAGCATAGCGGTTACAGCCCATTGGTTTGTTGGGAGCATTGGATCTTCCAAAGGTGGAGTGGAGCTGTTTTGAGGATGCCCTCTTTCCGCTGGATTAGAAGTAACTAAATTCTTGTTTAGGGAACTATGAGGGGTCTAGTTTGTCATGTAAAAATTACAACCTTGTCTGAAAAGGAAGTGTGTTATCCTGGCATAATACGATACTCAGGACAGTCCTCGAATACGTCTGATATAATTGAACGAGGCAAAGGATGCTACATGCTACTCTTTATGGGGATTTTGTCTCTAGTGTCCCTACCAGACAGTGGGAAAAGAGCCTAAGTTCTTGACTGTCTCTCCCAATCCGGGAAAGTTGGGAGGTATGTCAGAAGCTACATAGCTGAAAGAGACGTGTGTCCATCAAGACCAGCCTTTCTCACATCTGTTTTTGCTGTTGATCCAAAAGAGGTGATGGTGTTTAAAGTTGGTTTGGAAACAGGTAGGGGGATGACTAAACACACTCATGATCTCTACAGTATTGTATGTAAAATGTCTGGAATGTACTTGCTGATTGGGTTATTTATTAACATGGAAATGTTCAGAAATTAATCATGGAAATGCAAATAGAATAGCTGCAATGAGAAGAACTCACATACTGCAATAAAATAAGTATGCATTGCTACAGCTCTGCTGACATGTTTTAATAATAATAAAAAAAAAAAAATAACACCATGTGCAAAAATAACAACATTAATAGGGGCTTCCAATTTTCTTAAATAAAAATAATTGAATCATTTATATTACTTGGAATGTAATTAAATAATTTCAAAATGCAAATATAGAGCAAGTTAGACCAGTCACTCCCTAATTCTAATAATAATAAGCAGAGTGAGTGATACCAACTCTGTACATAAGGGGTCTGGAAAAAAATAGAGCCCAGCAGGGAAAGAACTACAACTCCCACGAGGCTTTGTCAATCGCGAGACTGGAGAAGCATCATGGGAGATGTAGTCTTATTGCCCCGGGATCCTTTAGGCCATCCCTGCCTGGTTACAGGATGCTAGGGCCTGTCCGGCAGTGAAGGGGTGAATGACGGCAGCCGAGGATCCTCCCTGCAGGGGCGGGAAGTCCCAGCTCTGCTCTCTGACCCTGTCCCGGCATCCTGCTGGAGGAGCGGTTAGACCGGCCCCGTCATGGCGGCGTGCGGCACGGACAGGCTGGGCTCCCGGTCGCTGCTGGCGGTGCTGTGTTTACTCAGTGGCTCCAGCCGGGCTCAGGACAGCGCCATGGAGGAGATCGTGACCGAGAAACAGGTGGAGGCCAGCCACCGCCAGGACACCGTGAACCTGCTCATCTTCATCCTGCTGCTCACCCTCACCATCCTCACCATCTGGCTCTTCAAACACCGCAGGTTCCGCTTCCTGCATGAGACCGGCCTGGCCACGATCTACGGTGAGCTGTGCCCCCCCACACCACCATGCCAGCCTACACCATGCCAGCCCAGTGTGCCCCCACCACACCATGCCAGCCTACACCATGCCAGCCCAGTGTGCCCCCACCACACCATGCCAGCCCACACCATGCCAGCCTACACCATGCAAGCCCAGTGTGCCCCCACCATGCCAGCCCAGTGTGCCCCCACCGTGCCAGCCCTCACCATGCCAGCCCAGTGTGCCCATGCCAGCCCACACCACACCATGCCAGCCCACACCATGCCAGCCCAGTGTGCCCACACCATGCCAGCCCCCACCGTGCCAGCCCAGTGTGCCCCCACCGTGCCAGCCCAGTGTGCCCCCACCGCGCCAGCCCAGTGTGCCCCCACCGCGCCAGCCCAGTGTGCCCCCACCGCGCCAGCCCAGTGTGCCCCCACCGCGCCAGCCCAGTGTGCCCCCACCGTGCCAGCCCAGTGTGCCCCCCACCGTGCCAGCCCAGTGTGCCCCCACCGTGCCAGCCCTCACCATGCCAGCCCAGTGTGCCCCCCACCACCATGCCAGCCCACCATGCCAGCCCACACCATGCCAGCCCAGTGTGCCCACCCCAGCCCCACCGTGCCAGCCCCGTGCCAGTGTGCCCCCACCGAGCCCAGTGTGCCAGTGCCAGCCCCGTGTGCCCACCGTGCCAGCCCAGTGTGCCCCCACCGTGCCAGCCCAGTGTGCCCCCAGCCCAGTGTGCCCCCCAGCACAGAGTGCCAACAATATGCCAGCCCAGTGTGCCCACACCATGCCAGCCCCCACCGTGGCAGCCCAGTGTGCCCCCACCATGCAAGACCCCTCCATGCCAGCCCACTGTGCCCCCACCATGCCAGCCCCCACCGTGGCAGCCCAGTGTGCCCCCAGTCCAGAGTGCCCCCCCAGCACAGAGTGCCAACAATATGCCAGCCCAGTGTGCCCACACTATGCCAGCCTAGTGTCAGCCTTGTGCCCACACAGTTCCCGACCTGTCTGCCCACACCGTGCCTGACCTGTCTGCCCTCACATGCCAGTCCATACCATGCCTGCCCTGGCACAGAGCTTACACTGGGCTCACAATGGACACCCCTGTCTGCCAGCTCTGGCACCAACTGGGCATAATGGGCTCACACTGCCTACAAAGAGCTCACTGGCACCTCCAACCACAAAGTATATTGCACTGCACTGGGGGTCCTGGCCATAACTGACCCAACAGATAGCAGTAATGTGCTTGACATTTGCTGCCTGAGAATTATGGGAGTAGTGTAGAGTGGGTGCTCCACATGGTATGCCCTCTCATGCCAGGCTGTCTAACACTTCTGTAAGATCTATTCTATAAAGTAAGAGTTGTTGAACATGCACAGTGTCTGTCTTTTCAGTTGTTATTTTGGCCTACCTATTAAACTCACTTTGACTTATTAACAATTTACACTGTAGGGAGTAACCCTGTTTATATCAGTTAGTATGAAGGAATAATCAAGAGACAAACTTGATTAATGGACGTGTTGCTGTCTGGTCCGATAATGTTATAGTGACATAAAAAACCTAATCAACATTTTATTTAATCTATGTAAAGGGAGGATACTTTTAATGAAACTTGAGACTTTTAATTGACTTGGCAAGTGGTTTATGGATGTTTTCAGGACCCCTTGATGACATTTTGCTTTTCTGACAGGAATTGTCACTAGGGAGATAATTGCTCAAGCCAATAGCGACCAAAAAAAAATAACTATTGATTGTGATAGTATATGTTTGGGCACTAAATGTAAAACTGGTTTAACCCCTACCATGCTGTACAGCTGGTATACAGATATTGTTTCCAGTCATCACAGCAGTTGTAAAAGTCAGACGTACAGGTGTGCTGCATGCATATGCTCACTCAATAACACCTATAAAAACAAATACACGCACGTTAAAATTCCACCACTTTACCATCAGAAAAAGAAGGGAGATAATGTGTAAATCTATTCAGTGGTAACATGGTGATATTCAAAAATGTTGCTTAGGGCACTAAAAAAAACAACTGATGGGGAAAAAAATCAGGCAGATTTAACAATTGTCAAAATCGTTTAAGCGACACTTTAATAATTCTCCTACAATGTATTTAAAACAATGCTTTATTATTAATAATTTTTTATTTTATTTTTTATAAAGGAATTATTTGCCTACTTAATGTCCATTAACTGAAAATAATAATGTATCGACAAGCTTGGAGAATTACCATAATGGGCACATGTGCCATAGGCTGAGAAAGTAATGTAGAATACATTTATGGGTTTATTTTCTAAACTGCGAAAAATTAAGGAGGATATTTGCAGATTTTATACCAAATTAGCCGATATCAAGACATTTTCTCATTTGGATATTTTGGTTTTCAGTTCACGCTTCCTGTATATATTCCCCTTATTTCCCAGATGACTGCAGTGTTGAGATATAGATATATATATATATATATATATATATATCTCTCTATTACTATACCATTACATTGTAACGCCTATGTGTCTAACATTTGGCTGTAGTGTTGGTCTAGTTGTCAAACATTCTGCAACTCAACTATGTTCAAGCTCATTTAGAGCACTGCATAAAACCATTCTACATTACTTTTATGAAGAACGCTTAGTTGTACAATACAAACCGAGAAAATAGACCAGTATTATTGATGGTAGAATTGTAGGCACACTGAATTAAACAAGAGCAGTTACTTATTTTTGAGTGTAGAATAAACATTTCTTAAAGTATTCGTTTTTCTTTTAATAACACAGCTCCGGGCGAAGTACATTTTTATTTTCATAGCCGGCGGTCTGGTTGTGCATAAACACAAAAAGTGCTAGTTCCCCTTTATAAGGTGGGGATTGAAATTCGTGGTTGCGTAAGCACATGTATACTATGGGTATTTCCTTGCCACATAACTCATTTTATGTATATTTCTAAATATATTTAAAAGGACACTTTAGTCAGCAGAACAACTATAGCTTAATGTAGTTGTTGTGGTGTGTGTATAGCAGGCCTCTGCAGGCTTGTTAATGTAAATGCTGCCCTTTGAAGAAAAGGCAGTGTTGACTTTACTGCCTAGGAACACCTTTTAGGTGCAGTCACTCAGATGTGCTATGTTCAGCGTGTCCGTGCTCTGCATGGATGTGCTGAACGTTCCTCATAGAGATGCATTAATGCAATGCATCTCTACTGGGAGATGCTGATGAATGCAGCGCATTGTTTTATCGTCCATGCGCAAAAACTTCCCAATGTTTTCCTTTAGGAAATCACTGGATTAACTGAGATCATCAAATTTAATGGCTTAGCCATAGCGGTGGAGCGAGGGCAGAGCCAGCCACGACAAGACTAACTCGACACTGGAGATAAGGTAAGTTTAACACCTTTTTAAAGGCAAGAGAGGGGCTTGAAACATAAATGGTGCTTTTAAAACTATAGTGTCAGGAATGCGTGTTAGTATTGTGTTCCCTTAAAATAACTACCCAGGTTATGTAATTGTTAAAGGGATTTCATAGTGCCAGCAAAAAAAAGGTGTTTTCCTGTACTAGGTTTCTACAGTGCCCCCTGCCTCAAACCCCCTCCCCCCCTTCAGTCACTTACCTAAATCCAGCGCCGATGTCCCTCAATGCTTGATCAGACTCCGCCCGCGCTCCTCTCCTGCAGACGGGGGAGCTCTAATGTGCATGCGCGGCAATGGCTAGACTCGCATTAGGATTTCCTCATGGGAAAGTATTAATCAATGCTTTTCTAAGGGGATTCCGGTGATGCTGTCTAATCACTCGGAAGTCCCTCTAGTGGCTGTCTCAGAAACTGCAAAAATTACCACTGTAGGGTTAAAGGACCACTCTAGGCACCCAGACCACTTCAGCTTAATGAAGTGGTCTGGGTGCCAGGTCCTTCTAGGGTTAACCCATTTTTTTTATAAACATAGCAGTTTCAGAGAAACTGCTATGTTTATGAATGGGTTAAGCCTTCCCCCTAATCCTCTAGTGGCTGTCTCATTGACAGCCACTAGAGGCGCTTGCGTGTTTCTCACTGTGATTTTCACAGTGAGAGCACGCCAGCGTCCATAGGAAAGCATTATGAATGCTTTCCTATGCGACCGGCTGAATGCGCGCGCAGCTCTTGCCGCGCGTGCGCATTCAGGCGACGGGGAGGAACGGAGGAGGAGAGCTCTCTGCCCAGCGCTGGAAAAAGGTAAGTTTAAACCCCTTTCCCTCTTCCAGAGCCGGGCGGGAGGGGGACCCTGAGGGTGGGGGCACCCTCAGGGCACTATAGTGCCAGGAAAACGAGTATGTTTTCCTGGCACTATAGTGGTCCTTTAAGGCATATGGGACACTGCACCCAGACCATTCAACGAGCTGAAGTGGTCTGGGTGTCTATTGTGACAATTTTACACAGTGAAGCTTTTGAGATTAGCAACATATAATTTGATTTAACTGAAGATGAATGAAAAACTCCTGGCATTAGGAATACAAACATGTATTTCCAGTACTATAGTGCAGGGGTAGGCAACCTTCGGCACTCCAGATGTTGTTGGCTACATGCCCCATAATGCTGGCAAAGCATCATGGGAGGTGCAGTCCAAAACATCTGGAGTACCGAAAGTCGCCTAAGTTTGCGTATAGTGTTTCCTCCTACCTATGAAGGTGTTCAGCTCACCTTGTAGAGGTTTAAAAAGGTAAGTTTTGCTTTCCTTATATTGCTCTGCACACTGGCCTCCGCTCTGTTTAACAGTCTTGATGATCTCACCCAATCCGATTCTTCCCCATAGTCATTTGAGTCATTTTTAGCTATAATGAAGTCTAACTTGGTTGAAGCTACGGAAGCATTTCTTCTGGCTGCCTTCCTGATTTCACACGAAACCTTTCCATGCCTGCTAGCAAATAATAAGAAACTTGGGAAACATTGGGCACAGGAAAACCAATACTAGTTAGGGGAAGACTGGAGAAATGTTGCATTATCTGAGCAATATCATTTTTTGCTGTGGCATAAATATGGTAAATTCAGAATTTTATGTAAACGTCATAAGCCCACAAATTAATATTTATTTGGGTTCATGGTTCATGTTGGTGGTGGTAGAACTTCTTTATTAAAATTCCTTTCCACTAAATCTAAACAAACTATATACATTTTTTATTGAGAAATTAAGGTGGGCTATGCCTTTAAATAAATTATAAACATTTAATACAGTGAGAAACAAATATATAAATTGATTAATAAATGCATCTCTATAGCAAAAGAGCTAAATAAGAGATACATTTATTAATCTATTTATATATTAGTTTTACTCACTGTAATAAATGTTTATAGTGTATTTAAAGGCATAGCCCACCTTAATTTTACATGTATTGCAATAGAGGGTGTTTTATCGGTTCTTCGCACTACGTAAGGTGGCTGCTGCATCTATGATATTGTCCAATTTTTTTTATTCTCACAAAAATGAGCACCATATATTCACTTTTGTATTCCACAATTAGATATAATTTAATTTATTTGACATTTGAAAAGTAGAATTTCTGTTTTTATATTTAAATAGTTATTTAATCAGTGTAAAATTTAGGCCTATTCCAAAAGCACACATGTCCAACACTCCTAATGTGTCCTTTAATTGGCACCCAAAACATAGCAGCAACGTTTCGACAGAAACTCTGCCTTTATGAAGTAATTTAGGCCATGTATGTCTTAACTCTTGTTAAAACTTCATATTTCTAAAGGCTTGGTTTACCATGTAGAGCATTCAGTTGCTGATTTACTTTGAATAGGGGCAGATTTCGGCAACTTGTGGTTGCCTACTGAGGAAGACTGGATTTGTAGTTGGGCTGCTGGTTGCATAACCCATCTTAAGTCTATCAAGATTAACAACTTTATTATCTTCTGTTAGGATCTCCATTTATCTTTTTGGCTAAAGCAAACGTCACTTTGCACCTGATTTACAGCTTCTCATATCTTTGTTTTTACATTCAAAGCAGTTCTTTTATTTTAGATTAAGTGAAGCTCCACGAGGTTTCTACATTGGTGTGTGTAATTTTCCAAGTGAAGTCATGTGTTTGTGAGCTGACTTATCAACAAGTCCTTGAACGAGGTTACATTACCATCGGAAAAAAATCCTGTGGTTTTGAGACGGAATGGGTTGGGATGAAATCAGGCATGCATTGACATTGAACTAGGTCCCCCACTTATTCATCTGACAACTAATACTTTTAACAATTAACATGTCCTATATCCGATGTCCAGTGTAGTGGCGCTATCAGGATGTACAGTGCTTTGGGAGCAGAGAAACTATCAAAATGGTTTCCCATCATCAATACACTGGGGACACGTCAGAGACCGAGTTGATTAATTTGGACCCTGCTTTTATTTTTTATTTTATTTTGTTTTTATTTATTTTTTTACAGTTTGGTAATTTGTTTGTTTTTGTTAATATAGCATTCTTGTTACCATAAGTTTAATAAAAACATTCAGATAAGAACACACACTCTGATTTGTTCCTGTGTTCAAGCACTGGACTATCACCTCTGCCGTGAGCCTTTGTGAGCTACTTGGTTTGTTTTCGGCTGGTTTGTCTGTTTTCAGGGCCCAGTACCCCATGTCTGTAAGCTTCTCTCCCCATCCCTGGAAGGGGGCTTTGGAGTTTTGGGTGACGGTGTTGCTTCCCTGTGAGTGGGATTCTGGTAGTTACATAATCCTTCTTGGTTCCCGGCCCAGCAGAGGGACTTCAAAACGGAGCTCTGTCTGGAGGTTGCGCCATGGGTGCAGGCTTCTTAGGTGGCTTTCGCCTCTCCTCTCAGCTTCTCCAATACTGCAGGCACGTGTTGTTGAATCTTTGCAGGAATTCTGCTTCCCAGCTTCTTGAGATGCAGGTGAGCTTGTGCAGCATTGGCATTGCCGTCGGCCATTTTGGGAAGGCCGCATGTAGGCCGCCACCCATTATTGTAGTCACAGTCAGAGAAAAGGCCACTTCTTCCACTGCCACCTTATCTTCTGCATAGGGCACTGGGGGTCTGTAATAAATTGGGCATTTCTTCTAGCAAGGTTTCACAGACCTGTATACAAATTTGTTCTTATTCAGCCCAGAGCTCTGGGTGTGTAGTCAGCTGTTTCTCCCTGTCTACTCCTCAGGGCAGTGTCTGCCATTTTGCAGTATGGGGATGATGGCATTAATGCCCCAGCAAGCAGCTCTGCCAAAGAAATATATGAAGACCCCAGATGGTGAAACAGCCGCTTTAAATGTATATTGTGGAGAAGCATTGCAGAGATACAGTACATATACTGCAATTGCTGCAATCCAACAGTGCTTCTTTTTTTTTTTTTTTTTTTCTCAGTTGTTGAATATACTTTTGTCAGCACTTGCTAGCTGTCTGAATAGTGGTTATTAACCCCTTAACGGGACACTATAGTCACCTGAACAACTTTAGCTTAATGAAGCAGTTTTGGTGTATAGAACATGCCCCTGCAGCCTCACTGCTCAATCCTCTGCCATTTAGGAGTTAAATCCCTTTGTTTATGAACCCTAGTCACACCTCCCTGCATGTGACTTGCACAGCCTTCCATAAACACTTCCTGTAAAGAGAGCCCTATTTAGGCTTTCTTTATTGCAAGTTCTGTTTAATATTTTCTTATCCCCTGCTATGTTAATAGCTTGCTAGACCCTGCAAGAGCCTCCTGTATGTGATTAAAGTTCAATTTAGAGATTGAGATACAATTATTTAAGGTAAATTACATCTGTTTGAAAGTGAAACCAGTTTTTTTTTCATGCTGGCTCTGTCAATCATAGCCAGGGTAGGTGTGGTTAGGGCTGCATAAACAGAAACAGTGATTTAACTCCTAAATGACAGTGAATTGAGCAGTGAAATTACAGGGGACTGATCTATACACTAAAACTGCTTTATTTAGCTAAAGTAATTTAGGTGACTATAGTGTTCCTTTAAGGACCAAACTTCTGGAACAAAAGGGAATCACGACATGTCACACATGTCATGTGTCCTTAAGCGGTTAAATAAACTTGGCAACCAAACAGTCTATATAGTCTGGGTAACTAGATAAAACGAAAAATTTCCTCAAAGCCTCCTCTAATTTTACAAGTGGTCTCCACTGAGTCATCCCTTTGAGACGGGGCCCTGGCAAAACATTCTAACACATTTTAACCTCTTTTCTCCAATTGAAGTATGCAAATAAACAGAACTGCGGTAAGAATAATGGCAAATATGAGGCCTCATCATAATTCAAAAACCCAAAGGGTAGTGATCTGTGTGTGACTGTGAACACAAACATGATTATTATAACTATATTAAAATAATTAATATATAGGAACCTATCATTAATTGTGCCCCCATACACCTGCTGCTGGTAGGTGCGTTACATAGAATTACAGCCACGTATAAACCAGAGTCTGTTTTGTGCTACATTTCATGCACATTTTTTTTTTTTTTTATCCTTTCATTTCTTTTATTGCCCTCAAGCATTTAAAAGCACATATGTTGTAGTGAGAAAATATTACCTCACTTGGCAAACATTTCACATACATACTTAAAGCTGTCAACAGAAAGCAAAGAGAAGCACTTTCTCTATATGATTTTATGTGCCTGATACAACAGTTAAGTTTACATCTTAGTAAGTAGTGAAACATGGCACCACTTTTACAGGAGAGGTTTTTAAATAATGTATGTTTTATTTAGGAAAGGGTGCAACTGCCCCAGTTTAATTTGTGTAAAAGCACATTGATATATTTGCTCTAAAAGGAGTTTTGGGCAACTGCAAAAGTGCAGAGTTATCATTTATATAGCAGCAACATATCTCCGCAGTGCTTACAGTCATAGAAAGGGATATCTGACCACCAGTAATCGACATGTAAGCTATTGACAGAGACTAAAGATGAAGAAAGACAAAACTGGTTTACAATTTATGAGGAAGGGTAGAGAGAACAATAATGGCTGAAAAGTTCAAAGGGACATAATAAACAGCATAACCACTACAGGTTGCTGAATTTGTTCTGTTGGCTTTATTTGTGAAAGTTTTTTATTTTCCCCTTTTTCTTTTTATTAAAGGAACACTATAGGGTCAGGAACACAAACATGTATTACTGACCCCTATTGTGTTAAAACCACCATCTAGCACCCTTTGCCTCCCTAGATATAGTAAAATCTTACTTGTATTCAAGTCTGTAACTGCTGTCTCTGCCTCTGACCTGTCCCGTCTGCTGATGTCATCACAAGTGGTGGTCTGAGCCAATCACAATGCTTCCCCATAGGATTGGCTGAGACTGTCAAACAGGCAGATTAGGGGCAGAGCCAGCACAATTCAAACACAGCCCAAGCCAATCAGCACCTCATCATAGAGATGAATTGAATCAATGCATCTTTATGAGAAAAGTTCAGTGTCTGCATGCAGAGGGAGGAGATACTGAATGGCAGTGCTGCTGACTATGCAGCACTGCCCCAGGAAGCACCTCTAGTAGCCATCAGAGGAGTGGCCTGTAGAATTATCACTAGGCTGTAATGTATACACTGCATTTTCACTGAACAGACAGTGTTGATAGAAAATAGCCTGAAATGAATGATTCTACTCACCAGAACAAATTCAATATGTAGTTGTTCTTGTGACTATAGTGTCCCTTTAAGGGAACCTATAGTCCCCAAAATTACAATAATTTCAGGACTATAGGTTTCCTTCTCTCCAAACCCTTTATTAAATGTAACTTTTTAATAAAGATTAATAACCTCTTTTCCAATGCTGGGATTCTGCTGCTACTGCTCACTCCGCCTTTGGATACGTCAGCATGCATGCTGATATCTTCCACAATCTGGTCCAATCTATATTGTCTTCTTATAGAGAAACAATGGATTGGAACTAGGCATGCGTGGCTAAACGCTGCGCTCCTCCAAATGTTATCAGCAGCACTTGATTCCAGGACTAAGTAAGGAAGATGGCCACTAGTGGTATATGTAACCCTCCAATGTAAATATTGGTGTGTCTTTTTTTTTGTTGTTGTTGATTTTTTTTAGAAACTGCAATCTACAATGTTTTTCAGGGATAAAAATGACACTGTACCCTTTGACTTCATTTAGATTAAATGGTCTGGGTGACTTAAGTGGCCCTTTTAAATTCTTTTACTGGGGAAAATAATTGAACAGGTATAAAGCCAGACATGATTGACAACACATAGTAATATACTGGAAATTCCACATATGGTCCATACCCTATTTTTTTCCATAAAAGTATATGTTTACGCATATATAATGCTCATTGACCCCTAAACAAAATGTTAATGAAGACTAAAATCCTTCTGAGGATTTAAGTAGTCACCTAGTCTCTGTGTATGGCATCTGAGGCACATATTGGTTAATTTTGTAAATAAACCAATTATTGCAAGCTGGTCGGGAGGGCATAGCGACATATCCCAACAAATAAGGTGGTAGTCCAATCAATCTCAAGATGCTTTTGCTAAGGCACCAACTTGAAAGACAGAGTTCCCATAGGGAATAACTAGCGTCTGAGAGATACCCCAGTGGTTCTTGATACCTTTAGACTGTAGAAACAAAGTAAAAGGCTAGAGGCCACTCTAGTGTGGCTCGTGTAAGGTCAGCAAAGAATGTTAGAGAATGCCCTTCAAAAAGTCTTACCCTGTGAGCAGATAAGAGTGCAGTCTTTTCCCAGCCATTGTGAAACTGTACCAGCTGGTCACTGAAGGCTGCAGCAGGGACCCTGACAACTTTCTGACCGTAAATTATTCCTTCTAGTTGGGTGGCTTTTGCCCATTTTGGTGATAGATCGGCACATAACATCCAAATGAAATGAGACAAGTCTTTAAATGCAATTATATGAGAGACTTCTCAGTTTGTGAGTTGTTCTTGATTCATCGGACAGCTTGCGTTTCTGGATCTCCACAGAGTTATGCGTTGTACTCTGTAATATGTCGAAGGTTTCTTTTTCATAGCCCACCCCTTTAAAAGTTGATCAAATCAGTATTTCCTTGCTGTACATTTAAAGGACCACTATAGTGCCAGGAAAACATACTCGGTTTCCTGGCACTATAGTGCCCTGAGGGTGCCCCCACCCTCAGGGTCCCCCTCCCGCCCGGCTCTGGAAAGGGGAAAAGGGGTTAAACTTACCTTTTTCCAGCGCTGGGCGGAGAGCTCTCCTCCTCCGTTCCGCCCCGTCGGCTGAATGCGCACGCGCGGCAAGAGCTGCGCGCGCATTCAGCCGGTCACATAGGAAAGCATTCATAATGCTTTCCTATGGACGCTGGCGTGCTCTCACTGTGAAAATCACAGTGAGAAGCACGCAAGCGCCTCTAGTGGCTGTCAATGAGACAGCCACTAGAGGATTAGGGGGAAGGCTTAACCCATTCATAAACATAGCAGTTTCTCTGAAACTGCTATGTTTATTAAAAAATGGGTTAACCCTAGCTGGACCTGGCACCCGGACCACTTCATTAAGCTGAAGTGGTCTGGGTGCCTAGAGTGGTCCTTTAAATTTTGGGATCCTGGCTCTTGTTGGTAATCAATATCCCAAGAACTGTATTTGTCCCTATGTTTATCTGTCTGTTTCTATTGGGTATATATCATTGGGCTTTTGCTGTTGCCCTGATATCATAAACAGTTCTTGTTGATGGCACATTAACCTGTTTAGAACAGTATGGAACAGAGGAAGGCAACTTTCAGCACTCCAAATGTTGTGGAATACATCTCCCATGAAGCTCTCTCAGCCATATAGCTGGCAAAGCATCAGGGGAGATGTAGTTTACAACATCTGGAGTGCCGAAGGTGCCTAGCCCTGATATAAAACATGCATTTTCAAACATTTTGTAATTTTTGAATATGATAAAAGAGAGACCATAAGCACTATATAGCTTTTAGTGTAGACCAGGGCTGTCCAACCTGCGGCCCCCCAGATGTTGCTGAACTACAACTCCCATGATTCTTTCAATGAAACAGATAGCCAGGGAATCATGGGAGTTGTAATTCAGCAACATCTGGGGGGCCGCAGGTTGGACAGCCCTGGTGTAGACCATCTAAGATTTCTTGGGGCTATCTCCCCATTTACTATCATATTTGAGTGGTTTGACAGAAAATAAACAGGTTCCTGTGAGTTTCACATTTACGTTGACTGTCCTTATCTGTCCTGCGGTCACATCATATTATTAGCATCCAACGTTTTGATAGGTTTGTTTGAATATGTTAACTCAACGTTACTGGCCGTAGAGATATGCTTTGGTGCTAGGGGAGTCCTGGGTTTCGTCAAGCCAGTTTGAGCAGTTTGACAACAATGGAGGAAAGCACCCAGTGACTCCTTGCACCATAACCACAAATAAGCTTTATGGTTTTGGTTCTGTTCCTTTTAATTCTACTACAGTCAACCTTCCTAACAGACTAATTTGCTTAAATCAACACAAAAATAACCCCAATAAAGCAAGATTTTGCTCCATGTTTAGTGAAGAAATAATTTAACATACAAACAATTTCTAAATACAGTATTCAAATATTTGTGAAATTCGGCATCTGTTTTTTCTCTAAAATGCTTTTGGTACTGAACTACATTTTATATCTAATCTGTGCTGTGGTCTTTCGCTGTCCAGGTCTTATTGTTGGCGTGGTACTGCGATACGGAATTCATGTTCCCAGCGACGTGAACAATGTTACCGAGAGCTGTGAGCTGCAGACCAGCCCTGCCACTCTGATAATGAATGTCAGCGGCAAATTCTATGAGTATACCTTGAAGGGTGAAATCAGTCCCAAGGAACTCAACAATGTGCAGGACAATGAAATGCTTCGAAAGGTAAGAAATGCACTTGTAATATTGCCCCGTTTGACTTCCAGTTTAACTTCAAGTGTTTAAAAAAACCCTGTAGAAAGAAAAGCGAAGAGAACAAATGCTCTGTGAACAGAAAATTTGCAGCCAGCAACATTTTCTCACAGTACTGCAGCGATAAAAAAAAAACAATGTCCCATTTACCTCCACGGACTGGAGTTGCATAACTACTGTATTGGAGTGCCAAGAATGTGATGGATATTCTAGATAAACCTGTAGGCCTGAAGAAAGCAGTTCTTTGTTGCAGTGACCTGCGCGGTCTGCTTATCTAGTATCTGAAAGGAAATCCGAGATATTACAAAGGTTGAAAACAGTGAATTGTTTTTATTAGTTGCGTTTAAAACACAAGTGAATGAGGTTTACACATGAGCGTTGCACTCTACTTAATGGGTTTAAAGTAATCAAGAAAAATATGTATCTAGATTGTTATTAATGTAAAACTGAAGTCTGCATCTAAATGGATCCTCTACGGTGTAACGGATTTTATTTATATTGTATTCTGTAGACATTGCATATAAACAGGCAAAGAATACTTGGTTACTGCATTTGCTGCAAATGCCAAAAGTTTGCAAAAAAAAATGTCAACACCATAAATGAGGCGAATATCTTTCATTTAGTACTGGTGGTCTCACTATTTTTAATGAGACAGTTGAACATATCCCGTCAAACTCTGCTGTGTCACATGACTGAAAGTGCATTCCAGGTTAATTTAAGTAGTGGCTGGTGTCATCTTACCGAAAGCTCCATTCATAGTGTTTCACAAGTGCCACGATAGAGATGGCTTTGTGGTTAGTGACTTCACAAATCACTGTGAATTAACTTTTTTAAATGTTTCATTATAAACCTATTATTTGCTTAAGTTTTAATTTCAAGAGGATATTTATTACACTGATCAGACTCCCTTTCGTCTCCCCCTGTCAGGATGTTGCAAGGTTAAGAGATAAATCTGTCAGGCATGCACAATATACTTTCCCTGGAGTGGGTGTGGAAAGCATAAGAAAGAAAAAGCAAGTAAATATTAGTCATATTTACCTGCTTTTCCAACCAGCAGAGTGAGGCAACTGTCTTATTCACAGCTAAAGTTTTTGAATGAGACAGTTTTCTTAAAAGGGTGCATGTCCCTTTAAAGCTCTTATCTTGTCTTTTTGTGTTCTATTATTCTTACTGGATTGTGGTGAAAAGCGTTCATTGGCCTGGGCTTCCCAGAAAAGGGTTTTTATTATTTTACAGTTAAAATACTACATATTATCTGTCAGAGCCCTGCTACAATGCAGTTTATGAGCAAGAAGTAGCACCCATGTCACGTGTTATCCTACCATGACTATTACAGCATCAGCTGATAAATGGCTTGTGTTGTGTTATATTATCATGCTCTTGGCTTTCAGTGGCTTATTATTGTAGTGATTTTGTACATATCGCTGCAGCAATATTATGACCTCCACCCTCGAATGTGTGAGAGAGCTGAATGCCTAGTTACCCATTGTCTATTTGCAATTTGGGAAAATTTTGTGTGGCCAGAAAGAGGTTTGAGCCGTGACTGTGCGCATGCTCGGTTGACGGATCTGCACATTGCTGAATTTACTAAATAGTAAGGCTGCTGTCACTTTATAGAGCAGTTTCACTCATACTTTATAATGAGTGGAAATCCTTCTGGGAATAAAATTCTTATCACATAGAGCCCATTGAACAGGATGTAGATCAGACCTCATAGACCAGAATGTGAAGCTCTGATTGCTGCTTTTTTTTTAAATATATATATATAATTGTTTATCCATACTTTCTTTCAAATGCTTGTCAAGGCTGTAATGTCAGGTGCCAAAGGCAAGCATTCCATGTTTCACTCCAATGTAGTTAGAAAATGCTTATTGTTTTTGGCAGATTAGGATAAGGTAAGAACATTCCAAGTTGACACACAAACCTGTACACTTTAAATGGCATAGATTTTTAATTAATTGAAAGTACATTAGAGGTGAATGTACAATGAAACACGGCCTCTTTATTGCAGCCAATGTGTTAATAAACTGTATGAGATTAGTAATCACTAATGTTTTTAATCTGTTTTTGCTCTTTCCGATCTCACAAGAGCTGTTGCAGTTACTATAAGCAGCCTTTTAAAGGTTCAGCTTCGCAATAAATCTTGCTCCATCTGGAATCCTTTACAGCACAAAACTGGTATTTACTGCCTCGATCTGCAGTATTTTATGTTTAGTTTGACTTGCCTACACCTTGCCTTGTTCCTAGCTCTCTGCTCAACATGGTGTTAGTAGAAGGAAGGCAGACTCTGGGGAACAATTCACAGATTAGCACAGTGCAAAATAAGCAGGTACATGGAAAAATCACAGTGTTAATGACTGACGTTCTCAACCTGTCAGCGAAACCCAGTCCAAGGCTTCCTGATTCAAGCCCCGGACTGCGGCAGAAATAGCTTGTAGTATATAGTTTAACCACTTGAAGTAAACCGGTGCCTGGGGACCTCCTTGCACCACAACAACTATAATACAATTGTGTTGTTTTGGTGCCCGGAGTGTCCCTTTAATTGAGTCATTCTCTGATTTGACGAGAACTCATTGCACAAGCTGCAAAGCCTAAAGATTTGCGGTCAATGCGGAAACTTCAAACACAGAGTTTTATTTACCAACAATTTTCTGAGCTTTGCTATATAAAACCGAAAATGAAAGCTAAAATAATGTGAATCAAAAAAAGAGAGCTGAAGAGAACAATGCTAAAACTAGGTTGAAAAGGATGCAGACCTAAACTTATCTTATCCTTCTTCATCCTCCGGTAAAGTTGTTATATTGGATGTTAGAAGATGGTCAGCATTTGCAAATCTTTTGTATAGAGATAATTATCAGGACAATACCTTCTCTTAGAAACCTTATTCTCAATATCACGAACGATAGAATTTGGTGTCACAGTTTAGATAATCTCTGCAGTTGTACAGAAATATAAAACAGAGCTTGATTTTGGATTGGTTTTACATTTGAAGACGTTATGAGGGATTTAAAGGGTTATGAGGGATTTATTAATATTTATTTTTGTGGGGTCCCTTTTGTATACACCATCTGATTTGAAATAGGGTTGAAGTGTGCAAATATGGAATTTGTCTTAGATGCACATTCGGCCAAAACAATTGAGTCTCCTACTGGGGAATTTTATGAGAAAAGCTCTTATAGAGTGATAACATAAAAAGGATCATTGTTACTAACAAACCATAATTTATTTTTGCTTTTTCTCTGGTGATTCAAATTAGAAACAATTGTTACTTGTAGCTAACTCTGCTAATAATTATTTAGTTCACACACAGAGGAATCAAATCCTTTCTGCCTACACATAGTATTGTATATACTTGTTTTTTCTACTCCTGATTTTGAGCATAATGTTTTTAACAGAATATATTAAAGCTTATGTTTTAAATAATTTAATGTCCTGATTATCTCTATACAAAAGACTTGTATAAGTGCTTTTAGGGTTAACCCTCATAATTAAGCTTGAGATGCAGGACATGCTTGGATATATGTATCACTGGTGGTGTGTTAGTGGTATGTCTTTAAGGACGATGGTCAGGTATATCTAATTTTTAAAACTTTAACTTGATACGTTTGGTCTAATTTTTGTTTTGCCTCTGGGATTGTATGGTCTTTACAAAGACGTGAACATGTTTTGTAAATAAAATGAAAAAAAAAAAGTGTATTGGTGCCCCCCATGTGCCCCTGCTTCATATATCTGTTCCTTATACAGTGACATTTAATTTATCAAAAAGGCAGGCTTATGAAACATATACTGTACGTAAATCCCCATTATTTTTGTCAGGTGTTAAATTTTTATTTATTTATTTTTAATTCTGTGAGCTTTGAAGTTGCTATTTGGTAAATGAATGAGTGACTGCGCTGGATCTTGTATGTAATATATATATGTTAAGAATACACAAGATCCAAGGGTTACTCCAACCCTTTTTGACCTTTGCCTTTGGGGGCTTACAATGTATTGGTTGTTCCAAAAGACCCTCCCCCCCAAAAAAAACAAAAAAAAACAAAACAAGGCAAGTTGTAATCCAGCCGGACAAAGATCCCAGCACCAATCTCCCTCCCTATCTGAAATAAGCAAGGGCATTGCGCGGTCCAATCACAATCTTCTCCTAGAAAAGCCTGTGATTGGATTTTTTCTCCAACACAGAGCATGGAGTAACCTATTAATAATCTCCTCCTTTCCAGCACCGCCATGTGAAGGTAGAAATAAAAGAAAAAAACTGGCAGATAATAACAACTAGTATTTATATAGCACTATATAGCATTTTTCTTCCAGTGGGACTCAAAGCACGCTCTCGGAATTAACCAAATCGGCAGCTAAATAGTAATAGATGTTATTACCCAATTGATGGTAATCATTTTGTCAACCTCGGAAGGATGAAGGACTGAGTTGACCCTGCCGGGATTTGAACCTGTGACCTTGCATTTTTGAACAGGCTTGTTGAAGTTCACATTTCCTAAGCAAGAGCAGAACATATCTACTTAGAAAGAAGGGGGGGAGGTTAAGCTTTAAAATGAGGATTATGGCTGCCGTGGCACCAGCTGACACTCTCAGCCAGTCAGTGGGTCCCTATTTACAAAAACGGCTTAAGAAAAATACATACATTTCTCAAGTCATTTTGTGAATGGAGAGTCACTCATCGGCTGAGTGCATCAATCATAATCTTCCGTTTTTTTAGCAAACTGAAGGACAGGGGGCAGAGAGAATCCAGTGCTGGAACACAGACTTTAGGGTTAAACCATTCACAAGCAGTTTAACCCCTAAAGGTGAGCCAGCACCAGGGACCTAATGGCATCGTAACAAATTATTTTTAATTAGGTTGTTATGGTTCCCAGAGTGTTCCTGTGAGGATCGGTGTTTTTGTTTGGTTTTTCAGTTTATTTTTTTATTATATCTTTATTTACTTGGAATTCTTGTGTGCCATGTCAGGAAAACTTTTTTGAACTGCGTCTAACAACAAATTCATCTAAAATATATTGGTAAATTTTCCTGTTTTTGTGACAGTGTATTAACATTGGCTAGTGCTGTAATTACTCTGCCTTTCTAATGAAAACACTTGTATAACAATTTTATACATGTCCACTCAGTGTATGTGTTTTATTCTAAATGTGTTATTGACTCTAAGAAAATAGCATATTAGATCTGAATCAAAAATGTAATTTCTTCCTTTATTTTCAGGTTACATTTGATACCGAGGTGTTTTTCAATATTCTCCTTCCGCCCATTATATTTTATGCTGGTTATAGCTTGAAAAGGGTAAGTAGGTGAAATGGTCTCCATGTTTAAATCATACATAGAATGTACACCGAGGTTTATTTACTAAACTGGGAATTGTCAGGAAATAAAAAATGTTCACTTTGTTTATGCAACCCTAGTCATACCTTCCTGCATGTAATGTGCACAGCCTAAACACTTCCTGTAAAGTGAGATCTAATATTTACACTTCCTTTACTTCACAGTCTGTTTGATTTAGAATTTCATATCTCCTGCTCTGTTTATAGCTTGCTAAACCTCCTGTTTGTGATTAAAATTCAATGTACAGAGATGGAGATAAAGCAAGTTTACATCTGATTGAAAATTAAACCACTTTTTTATGCAGGCTGTTTGAATCACAGTCAGGGGAAGTGTAGCTAGGGCTGGATGGACAGAAATACACATAATTTATCTCCTAAGTGGCAGAGAATTGAGCAGTGAAATTTCAGAGGTATCATCTACACCCAAATGGTTGTTTTGGGGACTATAGTATCCCTTTAACTAGTCTCTGTACAGCTGTTTACCCCATCTATCACTCTACGTTCCTTGTTCTTCAACAACCTGACCCTACCTTGTTAGTCTAATGTATATGTTTAATATGTATGTCACATACTTTTGTAACCTAGCGATGTCCTTTCGGATACATTACACTATTCTTTCACCTTCTGTGTCATTATACCTACTTACTGGGCTGAATGTATGTTTGTATGAATATTGTTCTTGTTTCCATAAAACTCTATTTCCTCTTTTTACATGTACCTGTATATTTTGCTTATCTGTTTCTCATTGTTGGAGATTGTAGTTACCAAAAATTTTAATATTAGTATAGTTATAGTCAGAGGATATGTGGCAACTGGAAGCTAGGCTTATTTGTTGAAACATCTGAGTGTATATAGTGTAACACATCCAGAGCTCGTCCAGTGAGAGTTCTAAGGAAATTATATGTTAAAACCATCAATTACATGTGGCTTTTACTGTTTGAAGTAAGACTTAGAAATACAATTCCATCATCTTCAGATATTTGCCTTCTGAACCATATAACTTCATACACCATCAGTGTTATTGCTACATTAGATGTGTTTGCATCTGTTTTTTTACAACAGCTAAGTATTGCACCTCAGTTCTCTACACATAACTATTCTTTTCCTCTTTTTAGTGTTATGGATTTTTATATGGTAAAAAGGCTATTTTGATATTTTGGTTTATGGCTCATTACCACAAACGTTTTGCTTCCAGTATTTGTAGTTCCTTATTGTTCAAACCTGTTCTGTTAAAGGTATAAGTTTGTTAATAGATTTAAACCTTGCTTATATATGTTTTAAAAATGTCCTGACAGAATTGAGTGTACAAGTGGTGGTTTCTTTATTAAAGTCGAGAATAAGCTGCTTGAATCCAAAATATAATGAAATAACGTGATTTATTCTGCCGTATGCAGAGGGTTGGAGTGTTCTTCATGCTGTTGATAAATTTTATTTTAATATTTTTACTATTTCTTTTCATACATAAAGTATCTGTGGGTTTTGCCTATGCTGCGTAGTGGACAGGCAACTTTTCACTACAATAAAATATGAACATATAAAAAAACAAAACAAAAAAAAAAACTCCCGCCACTCATGTTTTTATTTTTTTATTGTTCCAAGTTCAGCAGTGGGGTCTCAGGGTTACATTTAAAATTAGTTATTAAAGTGGTATCAAATGACTATGAAGGCCAAAATGCAGAATTGCTTAGACACCGATTTAAATAGAAAAACCTGACGAAAAAGATCAGAAGAATAAAATGACTCCTGTCCTAACTTACACGTGCAGCATCCCACAACAGTTAATATGCTACCGCGTGCTAAGTATTGTGAAGATGTTCAGCTGGGTGAGAGTGCACACAGACCATGTACCCATCGCTGCTGCCCTGTTGCAGGAGTTTAGATTTCGTGGAGTATCTTTCAGGCTACACAGTTGATCATGCTATTCCCAGCACGGAGTATAGGCAACATGTTTAATTTTGTGTTGCACATATTGTAATATTATAAAGTGTGTCGGGTTTTTTGTTTGTTGTTTTATTGGATGGAGTGAATGTCTAACTGGGTGTGATCATTGTGTGTTCTAGAGGCATTTCTTCAGAAATTTAGGCTCCATTCTCGCTTATGCATTTCTTGGCACAGCAATATCCTGCTGCGTTATAGGGTGAGTACTCTTTATGGTTTTTCTTTACCATATGTCATAACTGGCTTATCGATTTGAAATGAATAGGTATATTCTTTTTTTAATTTTAGTTAATAGGTTGTATGTATATGTAGGCTGCATAAGATGCAATTACAAATAAAGAAAATGTACATTTTCCTTATTTGGCAGACTTTCTAGCATTAAGGTATTCTCTATTGCCAGGATCACAAAGCAGTTTTTCTGGCACTATAGAATCCTGCTCCCCATCCCACGTCGCTGAAATGGTTGAAACCCCTTCAGACTCTTACCTGACTCCAGTGCCTATGTTCCTTGGTGCTGGGTCAGGCGCAATAGGTCTCCCCTGCCGGCTGACTTCGGTGGGGGAGGAGCGTGGGCGGACCATGCTCCTCCCCCACCAAAGTCAGCCGGCAGGGGAGACCTATTGCGCATGCGCAGCAATGGCCGTGTTCGCATTAGGATTTCCCCATAGGAAAGCATTATTTTTTTTCAATTTGACAATTTTTATTAGGGTTTTGGGATATAGAAAGGAAAGAGGGATTTCAGGGGGTGATTGTCAATCAAGTAATCGATGCATTGTTTGTCAAGAAAACATAATGTCAACATGGTAACATAAAAATAACATAAAGATAATATAGAGATACATTTCCAGTATCTGGTTAGTTCTTCTGGGTCTACCATCTGTTCCGTTCTGTCAAGGAAAGCATTACTAAATGCTTTCCTATAGGGATTCCGGTGCCGCTGGAAGTCCTCATGCATAGCGCGAGTACGCCCAGAAGTCCCTCTAGCCACTAGAGGAGGACTAACCCCTGCAAGGTAATTATTTCAGTTTCTCAGAAACTGCAATAATTACATACTCTGAGTTATGTGACAAGGGACAGTGCACGCAGACCACTTCCATGAGCTGAAGTGGTCTGGGTGCCTACAGTGCCCCTTTAAGCTATAGTTGCTATGCTTCTAGGAGTGCTCCTTTAATGCAGTTGGAAAAGAGGTGTGTGATATGAGGGAGCAAGTAAATCATGTGTTCTGGACAGTGCAACACACCTGAAATTCTGTGTTCATCTCTTGCTTTCCCAGATCTCTCATTTATGGCTGTGTCAAACTGATGCAGGTGACAGGAACCCTCGCAGGAAATTTTTACTTCACAGACTGCCTATTTTTTGGTGCCATTATATCTGCAACTGACCCAGGTGTGTGTTAATGTGCTAATCTGCTCATCATTAATGTGCAGCAAGCTTTAATTATCCTCTAGAAGGCTTTTTAGCAGGTCTTATCTGATCAAATTTTACACTAATTGTTATAATGTGCCCTTTGTTTTGTATCTGTTTATAAAGCATGAGTATATTTTGCAGTTTTTTCAGTAGCTGAGGTGTTAAAGGAAGACTCAACGCACCATCACCACTACAGAGAGCTTTAGTGGTTATGGTATTTTGTCACCACCCCTCCCTCCCAATGTGAGTTGTCAAACTGTTTTCTAAAGGTTTGATTTCTTGCTGGGGAATGGTATGACTTCTTACTGGAGGTCCGCCGAATGCTGCTCCTTGCCTTCTTACAGCCAAAAGTGAGAGCTAGAAGCGCCTATTGGGTGTCTCCTTAGCTTTCCCGAGATAAGCCCTGTTGAGAAGGGCCAGCTCATTGGCTGAGAGGATCAGCTGATTGATTCCAGTCAATAAACCAGGTGCTGTACTGTTGGGTTTAACTCAGGAGCTTCCAGCTTTAAGAAAGAAGGGTTTGACACTTTAACCCCTTAAGGACCAAGCTTCTGGTATAAAAGGGAATCATGACCTGTCACATGTGGCGAAACCAACCTGGCCACTGGAGGAGCCTGGTTGCCCACCGCTTGCCGCTGGACCATGGCCCTGCATTAAAAACCTTTTATTTTCCTTATGTGAGCAGTGTTACCCCAGATAGCTAAGCCATAGAGCCCATTCGTATACCGAAAGACTATGGGAAAGACTTTGGCTCCATGGCGATTGAACTGTATGCATGTGATCTGAGCGCCATCCGGTATTAATGTGCGCTCAGATCTAAGCTATCTGGGGATAGGTAGAATGTATATGTTCTATGTGATGAATTTAACAGTATGTAATTTTATGTCTTTTACTCTCTTTTTACTGCCATGTGGTTAATGGAGTTTTGCCTCTGTCCTTGGAGATAATTGGATTACTTCCCCATTATCTCCAGGACAGAGAGGAGGGATTGTGATGCATTGTGGGATTACCTGCGACTCATCAATGAGGCCCGGGAAGGGACAACCGGTCCTCTTCCCCAACAGCAATCAGCGGTACCCAAGGTGGCGGACCTCCTAGACTGGTCCTGCGAGAATCCCCAGCGGCAGTATTTATCCCAGGGAGCTGAAGGTGCCATCCTTCCTCCCCAGTGGCAGTGTGTGTCCTTAGGAGAGGAGACAGTTGGTCCCTCTCCCCAATGGTCAAATGAATCCCAGGGAGCCAAAGGTGCCATCCTTCCTCCCCAGCGGCAGTGTGTGTTACAGGGAGCCGAAGGTGTCGTCCTTCCTCCCCAGCGGCAGTGTGTCCTGCCGGGAGCAGAGACAGTCGGTCTCGCTCCCCAGCCGCGGGACAATATATCGAAAGGGGAGACAGTCGTTTCCCATCTCCACCAGCAGAAAGATTGTTAGGGAAAGGAGCTTGTTATCCCCTCTCCCCAGCGGCTGAAAGTATGTATGGGAGAGGAGCTTGTTACCCCCTCTCCCCAGTGGCAGCCTAGCCCACCAAGGGGAGATAAGCCCCACACCGGCGCAGATGGGACCGTAGTCTCTGTGCCCAAACCACAAGGGGTAGGGACGGTCGGTCCTGTCCCCCATCAGCAGGACTGGTTTCCCAAAGGGGAGACAGTCGGTCTCCCCCTACAGCAGCAGCACCAGATCCAGAGAGGGCAGCATACTACCCCTTCTCCTCAGCGGGGCTCCAACCAGGCTACTCCCGTTATAGCGCTGGCACCAGGGCAGAGTACCGCTGGTCTCTGCCCACTCAGCAACCCACTGACCCGGAATAGCTGCACCCCACACAGCAGTGGTGAAGCACCTGGACAAAGGCAAGCTACTCATTTCCCCAAGTGTAGTAACCCTTTATTGTAGGTGGGCTGTACTACTGATTGGCTTCTGTGGGTGGGTTGCTGGACTAACCAGGGCACTGACCGACATGAGGTTAGATACCCTGTTAGTCTGATTGATAAAGGGGAGAAATGTGGCGGAACCAACCTTGCCACTGGAGGAGCCTAGTTGCCCACCGCTTGCCGCTGGACCATGGCCCTGCATTAAAAACCTTTTATTTTCCCTATGTGAGCAGTGTTACCCCAGATAGCTAAGCCATAGAGCCCATTCGTATACCGAAAGACTATGGGAAAGACTTTGGCTCCATGGCGATTGAACTGTATGCATGTGATCTGAGCACCATCTGGTAATAATGTGCGCTCAGATCTAAGCTATCTGGGGATAGGTAGAATGTGTATGTTCTATTTGATGAATGTAACAGTATGTAATTTTATGTCTTTTACTCTCTTTTTACTGCCATGTGGTTAATGGAGTTTTGCCTCTGTCCTTGGAGATAATTGGATTACTTCCCAATTATCTCCAGGACAGAGAGGAGGGATTGTGATGTATTGTGGGATTGTAAGCTTGTGATTGGTTAAGGTCCAAAATGTTTCCCAGTTTCCCATCTGGTCCCCTAGGGGATTGTCCACCAGGTGGGAGACCTGCATAAAAGCCGGGCAGTTAGCCCCAGTAAACCATATTCTGCTTAACCCTCAAAACGAAGTGTCGTCTCGTTATTGGGGGAATTGGATTGTATGCTGACTGCCAGGAGTGTAAACCTTTCGTATGGTTTTTCCTGTTTGGCTGTTTCCAGTATTCGGGTAGTTTGCAGTTCGGGAGATTGGTGCTTACATTAGCTGCCTGTGCATCTGGGAAGGGGAATATCGCCTAAACGGCTTTTAACCTCTTGTGTGCAAAACGGTCCGTTACATCACACGTCATGTGTCCTTAAGGGGTTAAATCACTGTAGTGGTCATGGTGTTTGATGTAACCTTTTAAAATAAGGAGCCCACCAAGAATTGTTAAACACTGTCTTTAACTTAACCCCTTAAGGACCAAACTTCCGGAATAAAAGGGAATCATGACATGTCATGTGTCCTTAAGGGGTTAAATTGTACATGCATTTATTATGATCCCTGATCAAGGCAGACTGTATGAGATGATGAGTATAAATGTGTTTATTTGGGGGAAAAATGGATTTCAAGTGCCAACGCCTCTCCTCCCTTCTTTTTATTTTATAAATGGATCGTAGAATAGATAGAATTTATTTCAGTGTTATACTCCCAAAAATTCACTTTATTTGTGAGTGAAGTATCTTCAAATTCTAAAAAGAAAAAGTAACTCAGAATTGCTGGTAGAAAAAGCATTTTTGAAACAATATCTGGAAACCTGCCTCTTAATTTAGCCCTGGCTCCAGATTATTTTATATCAGAGACATGTGATTAGAACTGGAAAATATATAGAGCTATGTCAAAACCTCTCTTTACCACAAACCCATAGATTTCGCTCTATGAAGAAATCCAAAGACTATTTTAAACCAGCTAACCCCATGTGTATTTCTTTGTCTGTTTCCAGTGACCGTTCTTGCTATATTCCATGAGCTTCAAGTTGATGTGGAACTGTATGCCCTTCTGTTTGGAGAAAGTGTCTTGAACGATGCAGTTGCCATAGTATTGTCCTCGTAAGTCACTTGTTTCCTCCTCCCTACTTATATTGATTGACTGTATTTATTTTGAAACTTCTGCTTAATATTTTGGAATATATACTGTATCCATGCTGCTGTGGTTTTTGCCACACTTGTGGTTGTTTTTGGAATTATTCTAAGAATAAGCAGGATACCAATAAGTGCTGTAACCTCAAAAGGCAGCAGTCACATCTTCAGTGGATGCCATTCAAGGGGATCTGTCACTTCCCAGGATTTGTACTATTATATTTACTTATCCCTTTAATGGAAAAACAAAATAGAATGTAAAAATCCACATCTCTTTATCCAGTAACTGTACACCTCCATCTTGGTTCCTGTTATTCGTTGATTCAGTGTTTTTTTGTTTTTTTTTTATTATCAAAGTGTTGCCGACAAGTTTCAGTCTCTTTTTTTGGCACATTTTTGGTTTCATCTGTTTTTCACCCTAAATGTCATATTTGAATATGTGCCATTTTTAAATATATACAACCTTTTCACTGACTATGGGGATTTATGACTTTTTCAGCAAAGCGTAGCGCAATTTTTCTGCTACTTTAAATTTGACGGACTTCTGAAATTGGAATTTCTGTGAAAACCAGCAGAATTAACTATTAAGAAAAGTCACTTTAAAAATAATTTTAATAAATGCTATCAAAATAAAATAATCCTAACCTCCTACTTTTCAGAACACTTTGATATATATCTGCTATTGTTTCTGTTTCTCCTTCTTATTTACAATGTTGGCATTGTCTGAACTGGATTGTGATGAAATTTGCTAATTTTCTTTCATATAAACTAAAAAGAAAACCAAGCATCACATGAAAAAAAATGGCAAAAAATAAACAGTTATTTTGGTGGGTTTACATGTTTTATTCAGTGGTGTAAATGCCAGGAAAGAGATTGCTCGATAGATTACCTTTTTCTGTTTGGGGTGCCTTCACCACCTGGTTCTGACATCTTTTAAGAGTGCATCCTATGGATCGTTTTTCCCATGATGCTGTGTGTCCTGGGAATAAGTTATAAGAGACCCAAAAACACAGTTATACTCTGCACCCATCTAGACCTGAGTTTTTCCTGTAGCAGAGTCTGACAATACAATGGAAATTGGTACTTTAGCTGGTTTGCTAGAACTGTCGAGTAAACACCAAGGAGGGTTACACTGGATGCAATGATAAATCTGAGATTATTTTTAGTGAACTATAATCTCAGTTCCCTGTTGCCCTAGGTGATTGTACATACAGTTTAGCAAAAAACTCAAAGTGAAGCCAACCTGTTTTGTCAACTGCATATAACCAGAAGCCTGAATAGTGTATAAATCGCATGTAGAACCGGAAGATTAAATAGATTACACCCATAATTCAGTATGGCACCTACCCCAAGCAGGAAGTCTGGTATAAGAATGGTTTGTTTATTACTTCACATGATGGTGGGGGGTAAGTGGGGTGGGAGATATGAGATATGCTTGATTTTGCCCAAGATTGTAGGGACCACAAAACACTTTTTTTATTTTTTATTTTTTCTGTCTTTGATTATATCCTGCTAAACAAATAGACTTTTTTTTTTTTTGTCTATCACATTTTTCAAAGGTTCATCTTTCCTACCATTATCATAATCTCCTTTTAAAATCGTGGATTCCAATTTGAGCTTTCAGCCTCTAGCTCTATGAATGGATCTCCCTGACATGCACATACAAGGCAGTATCAGAGCCTTTACTGTTTAGCATATGCTAAATGATTGACATAAACGGTAACAGTAGATCTTCAATGTTTGAGGCATGAAGACTTTCTTTAAAATGTATCTTTCCCGGAGGGGGCGTGGCTAACCGCCGGGCAAGATGGCAGCTTAAGATTTTGCTCCGGCACATGGGATCCGCACACAAGCGAAATAATCGAGCAGAAACGATATAAAGCAAAACCCAAGGATGTCACAGGCCAAGGGGAAGAAAGCGGCACCCAAAGCTGATAAAAATAACTTTTTCGGACATAAAACACCCGCCGCAATAGAAATCACGCAGGCCATGCTTACCGCCGCGCAAGATGGCGCCGACAGCCCAGATGCAGGCTCTCCCCTGACACTGCGGGACGAGATACCACAGACTGGACACCTCACAATAACCCACTTTGAAAGAGCAATGGAAGCAATGTCAGCAAAACTGATACGAACCTGGCAATCCACAGCCGACCAAATAAAAAATGAAGTCAGAGAACTCTCCAACAGAACAGCCTCAGTGGAAAGCGACTGCCAGGTCTTAAAAACGGCACAAACTGGAATCTCCGAAAATTTACTTACCTTACAGCAAAGAATGGAGGCCATGGAAGGAAAGCTGGCGGACTATGAGGACAGGGCCCGCAGGAACAACCTACGGCTAAGAGGGGTCCTAGAATCGGTCCAGCCGGATGATCTACAACTGTACGTTAGGGGCCTGATGCATGCCTATGCCCCAGACATCCCCTCAGACATGCTACTGATTGATAGAGTCCACAGGGTCCCTAAACCAAAGCACCTACCGGACACCGTGCCTCGCGATGTTGTACTCAGAGCACACTATTACCACATCAAAGAACTGGTGCTCCGGGCCCACCGCAACAAACAAGGGCCGCACGATGACTATCCATCTGTGATAATTATGGCGGACTTATCAGCCGCAACGTTAAGGAGGAGAAGGGACTTCCAGCAAGTCACAACGGAACTAAGGGACCGAGGCATCCGCTACAGATGGGGCTTCCCCACCAAGCTTATACTGACGAGGAACGGAGAAACTAAACTCTTCTCACGACCAGAAGATGCCATGAACGAACTGGCGAGATGGAGCCCGCGCAGTAAACAGAGCACCCCTCCTGCATCTTCGGCCCACAGCCGCAAATCCACAAGAACTGAGCGAATGAATTAACTGAAGAAAAAAAAAAAATAAAAAATCTCTCTTACGGCGCAAGTATACTGACATTGCTGTTATTTGATATTTTTATTTAATAATTTTAACTTATGTGGTTTCACATGCTGCTTCAGATGTTTAAGCACGCATACATAATTTTGATGCCGCCACTACCACCACACACAGCAGGGCCAGGGTGCACCGTGCCCAAGCAGTGACATGCCAACAGGTGATCACCGACTGACACCGCAGACAGGGGAGACGGCCTGGGCCCCAATATACACACAGGCCCCAGAGGGTAGCACAAGACCGACCACATACCAACCCCCCACCATTAAGGGTACACCAAGGAGGGATGCCTCACAGTCCGACAAATTCCCAGTCACAGTGTCACACGCGGAGACGGAAGGGCGAATGCTTGTTCGTACACAGGCACCCAACCCCACAATACAACATGGCGGCATGAAGCTGCACCACACAACATATGGTACAGCTCCCCAACAACACAATCTTAATCACTAATATATAGACTCTACACCAATTGACATCTCCAACCCGAGCTGACTCCCTGCACATAACGACCTGTACTGAACCACGGAGAAATCGCTGCATTGAACGACCCACAGACACCCACCATGGCGCTGCCACGCATGAGTACAGCAAATGACATAGCAGACAATATACTTGATGCAACACACAAAGTTATGTGTTAAATGTTATAATTGTTACAAACGTTTACAAGTTATTATAGTTTCGGACATCATATAACCAAAAGACATACTGCAATATGATGCCTTGCATAGCACAATTGCCTGATATGATGAAGCTCCCCCCCCCACCCCACGCAACGATTGCGCATGTCCATATGACCATCTGCTCCACCCTAGTAAACAAGCGGATCCCGCAAGCCACCCACTTGGATTACCACTACTCCAATCCCCCACGGTACGACCAGCGTACCAGACCTAAATAGGTCATTGTACATACTGCCACACCCCCTCCCGCAGTCTCTCACTCAAACCCACACCACTCTATCCTCACCTAGCCCCCCCCACACCCCCAGTGACAATAAGATCACGCACAAATCTACCGCATCCTCTGGACCCACAAACATGGCACACATGACTCTCTACTCCCACAACACCAAGGGGCTGAATACGCCACACAAACGAAGAATGCTGCTGCAAGATTTGAAAAGTCACAAAGCAGACATAGTGTGTCTCCAAGAGACACACTTCGCCACCAACAGAACCCCCACATTCGCTGTCCAAGACTACCCCACTCAGTACCACGCCACCCACTCCTCAAAATCACGAGGAGTCTCTATTCTCTTACATAAGTCACTCACCACGGAAATACTCTACGTTAAAAAAGACAGCCAAGGTCGGTTCTTGATCCTCCACTGCATACTGAACAACCTACCGTTCTTGCTGGTATGCCTATACAGCCCAAATGACCAACAACGAAACTTCCTACATAAAATCCTCGCCAAATTGCCACATGTGACGAACACACCCACAATCATCTGCGGAGATTTTAACCATACCATGAACTCCTACATGGACTCCACAATAAAAGCCGACTCCGCTAGGCACACCACCTTAAAGACGGCAAACAAAGCCTTCACGAAACTGATTCATGAATACGGACTATACGACACATGGAGAACACGCAACCCGAACGAAAGAGAATACACGTTCTACTCACAGGTTCATAAAACATACTCAAGGATTGACCATATCCTGATATCAGGCACCCTTCTCCCAGCCATCACTGACTGCTCAATAGGGAACATAGTCTGGTCTGATCATGCACCACTAACAATGACCATACTAACTCAACACCAACACAGAGGAAAACCACCGTGGCGTCTAAACGACACCCTGCTCCACGACACCGTATTCACGACAAAACTCACGAACAGCCTGCAAACATATTTCGAACTCAATGACCTCCCGGAAACCTCCACCGCAGCCATTTGGCAGGCCCACAAATCTGTCATGAGAGGCCTTCTGATAAGTCAAGCATCATTCCTGAAAAAAAGAGAACGGGAACACTTGGATCTTCTAAAGAAACTGCGAGACACGACCAACGAACACCTATTGAAACCAACCGATGAACTAGCCAAATCTATAGCACTTATAACCAACCAACTCAACACATTAGCTCTAAACAAGACAACTCATATCCTAACGAAGTTGAAGATGACAACATATACACAAGGCAATAGAGCAGGGAAACACCTAGCAACCATCCTCCGACAAAAACAAGCAAACTCTAAAATCCCGTACCTGCTCAACAAAAAGGGAGGAAAAATCCACAACCCCCAAGACATAAACGATGCAATGGCGGATTACTACCAAGAGCTATATAACCTAAAAGATGACCCTGCGCTACACAAACCCACAAACGAAGACATAACAGACTATCTCCAAAAAACAACACTACCCACGCTATCTACAACACACAAACAAAGTCTTCAGGCCCCAGTAACAGTCCAAGAAATCATAGACACAATTCACACGCTCCCAATAGGGAAATCCCCTGGCCCTGACGGGTTAACTAACTCGTACTATAAACAATTCGCACACATCCTGGCCCCCCACTTAATCAAACTAATCAACCACACATTACAAACTGGAACACTGCCAGAGGAGATGCTAATAGCTCATGTGGCTACCCTACCGAAACCGGGGAAAACCCCCAACAGAAGTCAAAACCTACGGCCAATTTCTCTACTGAACACGGATACCAAACTCATCGCAAAAATCTTCACGAACAGACTCTCCCCCATCATCCCCGAGCTAATTGGCAAGGACCAAGTGGGATTTGTCAGTGGCAGGCAAGGAGCCGATGGCACGCGGAAAGTACAAAACCTCTTACACAGTCTGAAGGAGAAAAAGGCCCCAAGCATCCTCCTATCCCTAGATGCCGAGAAAGCATTCGACAGACTCCATTGGCAGTTCCTACTAGCGGTCCTACAAAAATTTGAATTCCCCCCCCAATTCCTCGCCCTTATCAGAGCACTATACTCCTCCCCTACGGCACGAGTGACAAATGGGGGATTTATCTCCAAACCCTTCAAAATTTCGAACGGCTCCCGTCAAGGATGCCCACTCTCCCCAATACTATATATCCTGGCACTCGAACCCCTGGCCCAAATGATAAGAGATGACTCCGCCATAAGCGGAATGCATATAAAAGGGAAAGAATATAAACTAACGCTGTTCGCGGATGACATTCTGCTATCATTAGAGCACCCACATATATCTCTACTCCAATTCCATAAAATACTGGCCCACTACAGTAGATGCTCTTTCTACAAATTAAACATAGCAAAAACACAGGCCCTGAGCATTAACATCCCAAACCATGACCTGAACGCCCTGAAAACACATTTTAAATATGAATGGAGACAAGACCATATCAAGTTTCTAGGGGTCAACTTCACACCCACACCCGCCACCTTATTTAAAGCAAATTACATAAAACTTTTAGGGGAAATCAAATCCACCACACAAGGATGGAAAGACAAATATGTATCATGGATGGGACGGATAGCATCGACGAAAATGATACTCCTACCTAAGATACAATACCTCTTTAGAACGCTTCCCCTCCAACTCCCCACAAAGCATCTCCTGGAAATACAAAAACAAATTAACACATATATCTGGGAAAATACAAAACCCAGGGTAGCGCGCACCACTATGTTCAGACCACTCTCACAAGGTGGCATGGGCTTACCTGACATAAGAGGATACTACCGCGCAGCACACATAGCCCCACTCCTCTCAGCATTCCACCACAAAGAAGAGATGTCCTGGGCTGAAATTGAAAAAAGATATGCTAACGGACTTTCCCTACCAACTATGGCCTGGATACCGAAACACCAAAGACCAAGCAACAAATCACTACTACCAACAACTCAACTAACTTTAGCGATATGGGATAACTATCGCAAAAAGATGGGCATTCTGACGAAAATATCCCCAGCCCTCCCACTGGAAGCTCTAGGCGCCATCATCATGGACTTCAACTACAAGATATGGAACAAACACGGAGTACGAACCATTTCCCAACTCACGACAAACTCCCACCTCAAACATTTGCCAGACCTCCAACGAGAATTCCACTTACCTGCAACAGCTACCTTCTCCTACAGGCAACTGCAAGCCTGGTTCACTCTACAGACAAAGAAATTGTCGATAACCTTCCCAGAACCACCTCTACTGGAAGTCGAAAAAATATGTCTAGCAACCAAACCAGCCAAGAAACTGATCTCACGGATTTACGCCTCAGAATGCAATCAACTCTCGAAAAAAACCCCATCCTTCAAAACAGCATGGGAGAAAGACATCAAACACCCACTTACTGAAGCCCAATGGCAGAATATTTACAAAGCACACAAACAACTGACACTCTGCATGAACCATGTGGAACTCTCCCGAAAAGTCCTATACAGGTGGTACCTGGTGCCCACACGCCTCAAGCTCAGCTTCCCCGACACATCAGACATATGCTGGAGATGCCAGGCAGACAAGGGCACCATGATCCACATTTGGTGGCACTGCCCGCAACTCACAACATATTGGCTGGAAGTAAAAGAACTAGCAGCAAGATGCACCAAAACGCACCTACCACTCCTACCGGAAACCTTCCTTCTACTTCTACTCCCGAACAAACTTCGGAAAAGCCACAGATACCTCCTCTATCACATCATCATCTCAGCACTAGCAACCATAAGCAGGAAATGGAAACAAACAACCCCACCGACAATAGAACAATGTATCAAAGCAATTGACGACTCCAAATACTACGAAATAATGGCAAGGAAAGCGAGACCAAAAGCAACATACCACACTACAGCATGGGAAATGTGGGATGAGAATAAGCTACAACCCCGTATATGAACTCGCATCCAACAAACTGCACAAAAACACCACTGGAGGACACTCAACCACTTCCTAACAACATGCTTCATGACGGAAGCACTTCCCTCTCTCTCCGCCACAACCCCAGCAAAAGAACCAGAGGAATCCACAACCCTCCAAGTCACCCTGCCCCCTCCACCCCACCCTCCCCCCCCAGGAACAAATACAACACAGGCACATTAGCCCACGACATCCTTATACACCAACACATACTCTAACGGATAGGCTAATGACCCAAGCAAAAAGACGAACGACCCCAACAGCAGCAGGGACGAGACACAAGACATCATCAAGCAAGCATACCTTGTTCCCCTACGCTGGAACACTCTAACGAGCACGTACACTCTGCAACAACATGTTACACATGGTACCTAGCATGAGGCACAAACGAACAGGGGAGCAGCAACAAATCGTAAACCTATGCCCACACACTAAACCTTGCAAACCTGAATCAAACTGCTGACTGTAAAAAGACTATGTGTACAAAGTATTAAACTTGTATATTATATACTGTGTTCCCCCCTTCCCCCCCCCCCAGCTCTCTTCTATACCCCATCTCCCCAACCCGATAAAATAAAATAAAAATTGTCAAATTCAAAAAAATGTATCTTTCCCTGCAGATCAATTGGAGCGTATCGTCCCGCTGGAGAAAACACTCACACATTTGACATCACCGCAATGCTCAAGTCTGTCGGTATATTCTTAGGGATCTTCAGTGGATCGTTCGCTATGGGAGCAGCTACTGGAGTGGTTACAGCATTGATATCCTTCTCTCCATTAATTTAGATCTATGTAATATACATGGGGTCTTTTATCTACATATTACGTGTGTAATGTGTCTGTTTTGCTTCTTGCAGCTTAACACTTACAATCTTAGCAAAGCATTACAAGTCCCTTCTTCTCAAGATTCTTTTAAAGGGTATTAATAGAGATTTAGATTTTTTATTTTTTTTTGTCATTTTATTTTAAGAAACAGAAATGTACCATATGGACCAGTTTGGCCACGTTAGCAAACATTCAGTAATAGATGCAAGAAACGTATTGCATTGTGTATTAAATCACTGGGTGTATTCTCCAAAAAAATATTCACAATATTCAAAATCTCTAAAAAAATAAATAAAATATGTACACATTTAATAGCCATACATAATCACAGTTTTTTTTGTTTTGTTTGTTTTTTGTTGTTGTGTTCCTCATTGTGTTTTTGTGCTTAGGCTGCTGTTTTAGACTAAGACTCATTGTACACCCGTGTGTTCTGTATGAGCCTTGACAAACTTTCACGTCACAAAGTTCACCAAACTGCGTGAGTTTCCACTTTTAGAGACTGGTCTGTTCTTCTTGATGTCCTGGAGCACCTTTCTCCTTGCTGAGGCATGTGGTTACACAGGTAGGAGGGGAAATATTTTCTTACCTTCAGGCTAGCTAAACTTATTCTAAATCATTTCTGTTGCTTTCTGCTGCCCTGTACAATGCATTTTTATTTAATTATTTTCTCACCTCTCTGCTCTAAACCCTTAGGGACCAAGGGTATTTTTTTCATAATAAGACCAGATTATTTACCGTATATACTCAAGTATAAATCGACCGGAATATAAGTCGAGACCACTAATTTTACCCCAAAAAACTGGGAAAACTTATTGACTCGAGTATAAGACTAGGGTGGGAAATGCAGAAGCTACTGGTAAATTTCTAAATAAAATTAGATCCCAAAAAATTACATTAATTGAATATTTATTTTGTGTATACAATGAATGCAGTGTGTGTATGTATATAATGCATAGTGTGTGTGTATGAATGCAGTGTGTAATGTGTGTATGTGATGCAGAGTGTGTACCCTTTGTGGGGGGTGGGCATTTTTTTTTTATTATTATTATTTTAATATTACATTTTTTTTTAATATATTTTATTTTTATTTTAATATTATTAATATTTTTATTATATTATTTAAATTTTTATTTATTTTCGTCCCCCCTCCCTGCTTGTTAGCTAGCCAGGGAGGGGGGCTCTCATTCCCTGGTGGTCCAGTGGCATGGGCTGTGTAGGAGGGGGCTGGCAGAGAGCTGTTACTTACCTTTCCTGCAGCTCCTGTCAGCTCCCTTCTCTCTCTCCTCCATTCCGGTCAGCTCCCTTCTCCTCCAGTGTAAGTCTCGTGGTCTCTTACCCCGCGGCTCTCGCAAGACTTACACTGGAGGAGAAGAAACTGACCGGACCGGAGGAGAGAGAAGGGAGCTGACAGGAGCTGCAGGAAAACTAAGTAACAGCTCTCTGCCAGCCCCCAACAGGACCGCCGGGCTTGTAATGAGCTCGGCGGTCCTTGTCTGTATTATGGCAATGTAAATAGCCATAATACAGACATTCACTCGAGTATAAGAGTGGGGTTTTTTCAGCACAAAAATTGTACCGAAAAACTCATCTTATACTCGAATATATACGGTATTTTCATGGGTTTGGGAAGTTTTCGGATTTGGGACAGTTATACTTTACTTATCTCTAATGCTCCCTCTCACAGCAAGTGAGGTTAGGCTTGGACATTAATGGTCAATCAAAAATTAGATGGCCAAAAGTTTAAAAAGTATTCAACTCTGGATTACACTATTGTATTCAAATTGTTTTGGTTTAGTTAAGAAAATCACGACAAAACAAACAACAATACAATAAATGTTAGTTGTAAATATGTTTAATGGCGAATTCAATCTTAGACCAACATTCTGTCCGTGCATTACCAACATACAGTACCAACACATTGCATTGCTAAAATCTGTGATTCAACTGCATTGCAGGCTGCTACCCTGCTACCCTGAATTTAAATTCAACTCCTTATCTGGATTATTTTTAGGAGTGCTGAAAGGTATGCTGAGCTTAATAAAAACCAAAGAATAAGTTACTTGCGCACTATTCCAGATCCCTATGCATATTTAAACAAATGGAGGTTTGTTTTTTTTAGTATCACTCCAATGGCAATTAGCTGAAAGCCCACCTACCACGTCAGGGCAAACCTCTTAGGCGAGTCCTTCACGAACAATTCAACTTGCTTGCTTCAGCTTAAGGCAAAAAAAAGAGACAGAGAGGGGTATTTTTCTAAACCCCTACATACTTACTAACCCTTAATAGGAAACACATGGGGTGGGCTGTAACATGGCTGTGTGATGCAAAAGGCAAATACACAAAATCAAGTCCTGCGCTCAAGCTCCCACTACTCCTGGGCGGCAGTAATGCTGAACTTAATGCACTATTTAGTTTTGTGTTTTAATTTAATGCAAAATTGTACAGTGACATGTATACACTATGCTCTGGCATTCCATATAAATTATTTTATATAATTGTCGTACATCAATCATAAAAGTGTAAAATACTATTTGAAAAAAGGAACTAATGATACAGAATTTTAATAGTTTAGCGGTTGAATCTTAGACTAGAATTTCCTGTATGGGGAGAAATTACCTACTTCAGCTTAATGAGGTGTCATGCATTTAAAGTGTTTGTGTTTTTTTTTTTTTTAAATGACACAGAGAGTGCGTTTCGTTAATGCACAGACCTTTTTTTTCTACCCCTGTCTACCAATTTTAACCTGTTGGACACTGGTTTTATTTCTTGCCTTTCATCTTTTGAAGGTTGTTGAAATGAATGTCATTTCAGGAGACTGAAACTATGCATTGAGAACCTTGAATGATTTTGGGTAAAAACTGCTCTCTATATGTATTTCCTAATTATCATAGCTATCATTATGTGTGTTAGAATTTCTTCTGCTGTGTTGGGAAATGGGTGATAGAGGATATTAACCATTTTTGACTCTGCCTACAGGTGTTGTTGCAGTTTTGTTTTGTGGCATTACTCAGGCACATTACACCTATAACAACTTATCAACAGAATCTCAAATCAGAACAAAACAGGTATGTCTACTTGTATATTGTCTACCTAGGTTCAGTAGACTGCTTTGCTCCAGTCTCGGGTTGCACTCAGTATCTCATTGATTGACAAGTCAGTCATTCCATTCTTTAAAAGAAGACGTAAAATACAGTGTTTAATGATTACGTTAACCCTGCTCTCATGATGAGAATTGTTCTGTGTGATTTAAAAAAAACAAAAAAATTGGGTTATGGAGTGAGGATTCTGGTCTCTTTATGTTAATAACCCCTTTTTTTTTTTTTGAGTGAGGATTCATATCTCTCTCCCATTGTCTTGTGCCTTCCTTAACACACATCTTCATCTGCTCTCTCTCTTCTGGCGTCATCCCTGCTGACCTTAAACATGCTACTATAGTACCTATCCTAAAAAAAAATCTCTTAAACCCGTCCTCCCCCTCTCACTATCGTCCCATATCCCTGCTCCCTTTTTTCTCGAAGCTTCTGGAAAGACTTGTCTTTACCTGTGTGTCTCGCTTCCTCAATTCCACCTCTCTCCTTGACCCTCTTCATTCTGGTTTCCGCCCTCTCCACTCTATTGAGACTGCTCTTATCAAAGTTACTAATGACCTAATCAGAGCTAAATCCAAAGGCCACTACTCCATACTAATTCTTCTTGACTTCTCTGCTGCCTTTGACACCGTTGATTATGCTCTCCTTCTTCAAACTCTTCAATCACTCTGTCTCTGTGACTGTTCTCTCTTGGTTTTTCTCTTATCTCTCTCAACGCTCATTCAGCGTCTCCTTTTCCAAGGATACCTCCTCCCTTCATCCTGTCTCGGTTGGAGTCCCCCAAGGCTCTGTCCTTGGTCCCCTTCTATCTTCTCTTTATACTGCCTCTCTTGGCAAACTTATTGTCTCTTTTGGATTCCACTACCGCCTGTACGCTGATGACACCCAGATATCTCTCCTCCCCAGACCTCTCCCCTGCCATACTGCAACGTGTCACTGCTTGCCTTTCTTCCATCTCTGACTAGATGTTGTCCCGCTTTCTGAAACTCAATCTCTCTAAAACTGAACTCCTTGTTTTTCCTCCACCTAATACTGATTCTCTTTCGTTCTCCCTTCAAGTTAGTGGTATCCACATAAGTCCATCCTTGCAAGTGCGCTGTCTTGACGTCATACTTGACTCTGGCCTCACCTTTGAGCCTTACATCCAGTATGTTGCCAAATCCTGTAGATTCCAACTTAAAAACAAAGCCCGCATCCGCCCCTTTCTTACGAAAGATGCTACCAAGGAGCTTGTCCATGCTCTAGTAATTTCCTGCATGGATTATTTTAACTCTCTCCTGATTGGTCTTCCCAAAAACCATATTGCCCCTCTACAGTCTGTAATGAATGCCGCCGTCAGATTGATTTTCCTCTCTAGTCTGTCCTCTCACACCTCACCCCTATGTCAGTCCTTACATTGGCTTCCTGTATCCTATAGGAGTCAATTTAAAGTGCTAACCCATACATATAAAGCACTGAACAATTCTAGCCCCTCTTATATCTATTCATAGTCATAGATATGCCCCTTCTCGGTCTCTCCGCTCTGCCCGTGACCTTCTCCTGTCCGCTGCTCGCACCCGTACGGCCAACTCGCGCTTGCAGGACTTCTTGCGGGCGGTTCCCTTCCTATGGAATAGCCTGCCTACCGCCATCAGAATCTCCCTTAGTCTTCAACCGTTTTAAGAAGGGCCTCAAAACCCATCTCTTTAGGAAAGCTTATGGTCTCCCAGAGTAACCTACCTTAAATACCTGTCTCTTGCTCTCTCCTAAAGGGCAGTACTCTACTCTCTCCTCCAGCTCTGCTTCACTCCCACCTTATTTGATTGCTATTTCCTGTCCTGTTGTGTTTTATACCCCACCTCCTATATACTGTAAGCTCGTTTCAGCAGGGTCTTCTTCAACCTATCGTTCCTGTAAGTTTTCTTGTAATTGTCCTATTTATAGTTAAATTCCCCTCTCATAATATTGTAAAGTGCTACAGGATCTGTTGGCGCTATATAAATGGAGATAATAATAATGTAGCTGTATTGTCTCACGATAAGCCAATATGTGTTCCAATGGGTGGAATACACACTATATGTGAGGTAGGATGGCATGGTAGCAAAACCTGTTTAACATGTAACTGTCAATAGCATCTAAACTGTTTACTAATCATTGCTTCTTGTTTTTCTTCTCAGCTCTTCGAGCTTTTGAATTTTTTGGCAGAAAACTTCATTTTTTCCTATATGGGTCTGGCTTTATTTACTTTCCAGAATCACATCTTCAATCCTACATTTATTGTTGGTGCCTTTGTATCCTTTTTCCTGACTGTAACATTGTAATGAGACCCAAGCTTTTGTGTTTTGGAGTGTTGTGGAAAAAATATATATCTGCAAAATGCCTTCCTGTTGCACTCAGGTTATTAAAATATTATTATTAAAAAAAAAACCTCACATTATAGGTTGAGACCACCATTTTTAATGTGTACATATGTGTATTATGGGAAAATAATGCCATGAAGGAGTTCTGGAAAAATCAATAACTCCAGAAACCCAAGATGACCTTATCTTCCTCGAATACACTGTTCATTGTTATGTATCCTTTTATATAATATGATATGGCTTTATTTGTGTCTGCACAAATAATTTAGAAAACAACCAAAAATGTTATATACACATTCAAAGTCCCTGCTGCTTCTGCCAATTCACTGCTAGCAGTGGAAGTAGAAGAAAGAGATAGCACTTCTCGTGTGAGAATAGCCACCTGGATATTTAAACAGTATAGATGCTAATAACCATGGTTAGACTAAGGGTAAATGATATAACCTTGGGAAAACTACGTGAGAAAAATTACTAGGAAATCCAAGATACAAGCCTTATAAGACTACTCCTATGCCACCTTGATAAAAGTATGGGAAGGACGTGGTAAGATAATGGATCCAAAAATAAAAAAAGCTTTATTAGAAATTTATCATCCTTGGAATGTCCCACTGGGGCATCCTTGGAATGTCCCACTGGTGTGTGGATCTAGTGGTCTGATTTAATCAACTTTTGTTTGGTATATCTCTCCTCTATTTCCGCTTCTGTTTTTGTTTTTCTAGCAGTGATCTCCTACAGCACACCAATTAGGATCCTCATATGTGTTGTGTTTTTGTTTTTTTAATGACTTTTAAAACTCTGCCCAGCAAAAATGAACTGGACTTCTTGCAGCATACTCTTGAACCTCTAACCATGCAAGTAGCTGCTACTCAGGCGAGGTAGGGACCTGGGAATGTATATATTGGTCAGAGATTGATGGCAGAGAATGTCCGTTCTGCTGTCCATCTCAGTGGGACTAATATAGAGCTGCGTGATAGAATAAAGTTGTACACATGCATTCTGAAATGGCACTGAATAGATTATAAAGATTTTATGTAACATCTTATGAATATTTCACAGTTTGAATGTTTTGCCATATATTGCGGGCTTGTGTGAGACCCATATATTGAGTTTATGCAGAAATGCTACTAGAATGTATATTTTTAATAAAATAAGCTTGTATTTCCTTAACCTGTATTATCCAGATTGCTGTGTTTCTTGGTAGAGCAGCCAATATTTACCCTCTTTCCTTTCTACTTAATCTGGGTCGGAGAAATAAAATTAGGGCAAACTTCCAGCATATGATGATGTTTGCAGGTATAAGAGCAAGTGGCACACAGTGTTAATGAGTTTATCAGAATTTCTGCATTTACAGTAAACCTTACTAAATGAACAAACCCATACGGGCATTGTTATAATCATGCATATCCCAATAAATATACATGATTTGTGTGCACATCACTTAGGCCAATACCTAGAGAGGTGTGTAGCCCTTAATAAAATCAGCAGTCCCAGATGAAACCTATTCATTCCATCTTTTTGGAGATTCTCTGTACCCCACTCCCATTGTCACTACATGCACACCTGCTCCTTCCCCCCTTAATACTGCATCATTTCAACTCCTCTCCATTTTCATTACCTGTGTCCTGTAACCCACAACTCAAGTGTATGCGCCAATATTTTTTTTGAGTCTGTAACTTCAAAAAGGTCATGGTGGTTAACTCAGGGTCACCTATGACAGGCAGCATTTTACTGAATTGTGACATTCTATGCAGCTTGCCATTTATGCTTGATTGATCTGGCTAGGGTTATTTTTGTGTGTTTTTTTTTTTTTGCTACAATAATTGACACAGGCCTTGGAAATGTAACCATTTTCACATAATACTCCTTACTGAAGATTTTCAAGTGAAATTACATATCTACTGAATCTGAGGTTTTTTTTCCACACCATCTTGAATACTTATTGCCACGGTTATATAGTGATGGTATAAAGAGGAAACACAAGAACAGGTCAACAGGAAAATACCTTTGAAATGTATCTAGCTGGAAGCTGTCCTTTAGCTCCCAATAGTCTTTGAACTCCATGTGTAACTTTGGTTTGTATCTTAGGGGACCTGCATTCACTTAATAAGTACATTTCAGCTCAAAGCCATATTGGCTCGAACACCTTTTAGCTTAATGGAGTGTCTTTGTGTGAAATAGATCTTTATTGATACAGCAAGTTTATAAAGACCGATTTTCCTTCGCAGAGGAAAGCTAACATTTATAACAGAGTAATCCAATAATAATAGGCAGTGATGACATATTAGACATAGTATGTTGCATGTACGTGACTGCGTTTCCTATGCAGAGGAAAAGTGACTCTTAAATCAGGCTAATCAAATAATAATTGGCAGTGTTAACCTATTAACCCTGAAACGTCAGGTCGTAACTAGCATGACCTTCATCTTTGTTTACAACAAATCTTTGAAGTTACTTCGGTTATGTATAGAGTTAGTGTTTTCGTTGTGTAGATCATGCCTTGCAGTTTCTCTCTTCCATTCTCTGCCATTTAGGCGTCAAGTCAATTTGTTTATGAAGTTGTAGCCACACCATCCCTGGCTGTGTCTCACACAGCCTCCATTAAGAAAAGGTTTAATTTTTTAAAGAATCTTACAGCACAGTTTGTATTCTTTAGCAATTCCTATCTCTTACTCTTTTAATTGAACTTTATTCACACATAAGTGGCTGCAGCAGGCTCTAGCACACAATTAAGAGTAAGAAATGACTTCTAAATTAAACACATTATGAGATAACAGAAACTTACAAATTAGATCTCTTTACGGAAAATTGTATGTAATTTAGTGTAAATCATAACCAGATGAGGTGTGGCTAGGACTGTAGGAAAAAAGTGAAATGGCAGATCATTGAGCTGTGATACTGCAGAAGGATGACCTATATTTTACAACTGCGTCAGTAAACTAAAGTTGTTATGGTGCTTTGTTTTCCTTTATGGTAAGGTTTACAATTGGTACCTCAACATCTTGCTAGAAAACACCCACACATTGTCATAGACATCTTGGTCCGTCTCCAGTTTTTAGCTAAAGGACATTATTGGTACCAAAACAACTTTAGCTCAATGAAACAGTTTTGGTGTATAGATCATATCCCCTGCAGTGTCACTGCTCAGTTCTATGCCATTTAGGAATTAAATTACTTTGTTTATGCAGTACCAGTCACACCTCCCTGCATGTGAATAACACTACCTCACTAAACACTTCCTGTAAACAGAGATCTAATGTTTAAACTGCCTTTATTGCACATTCTGTTTAATTTAGAATCTTAGTCCCTGCTCTGTTAATAGCCTTGTAATCCTGAAGAAGCATCCTGTGTGTGATTAAAGTTCAATTTAGAACAGGAGTAAAAAAACTTCTTAGGCAAGTAAACATCTGATTAGAAATTAAACCATTTTGTTTCACGCAGGCTGTATCAGTCACAGCCAGGGGAGGTGTGGCTACGGCTGCATGGACAGAAACAAAAGGGATTTAACACCTAAATTACAAAGAATTTAGCCAGTGAGACTGCATGAGAATAACCTATACACTAAAACGGCTTAAGCTAAAGTTGTTTTGACGCCTATAGTATCCCTTTAAATATACAGCTGCCAAATATGTTAATCCATTAATTTGAAAAAATGTTTAATTTCTAGGGTTACGTGGAGCAATGGCCTTTGCATTGGCGTTTCGAGACACTGCCACCTATGCAAGACAAATGATGTTCTCTACAACACTTCTAATTGTATTTTTCACGGTTTGGGTATTTGGTGGGGGCACAACAGCAATGTTATCATGCTTAAATATAAGGTAAGGAAACAGTTATGTTAATCTCCCCATTAAAAATGGAAATTTAAACATATTTTAACTGTATTATTTATACTTCATAACCTTTATCTACATGACGACGTTGATTTGGGTGATTGAGTTGTAAGCCAATTCTTATAGTTCACATGTTCTTAACATATCCAGACTTTGTAGTTTCCTTTGTAACAAAAAGTATGTTTTTGTTTTTGTTTTTTTTAAATTCTTTATTTTCTTGTGCATAGTATTTTCAAACAGGTATGTGCTGCCATTGCAGTGGAGACATTGCTTTGATATAAGATATTTAGTGACAATTGCATGGCATCGATGTATATAGCACATTTTTCAGTAAGGAATAACAGGGAAATATAACAGTTTGGTTAGTCACATCTACATAATGAAGTTGGTCCAGTATTTTGTGATTTTCGGCCATGTAATCTGTGTGATGGGTTGTAGTCTACTATGGGACTAGCTCATCGTGGTAGGGTGTAAATGCTGGGCAGGTGTGGCGGTTCGAAGGCACTGCAGTGTCTTGTTTCTGCTGTATGACTATCTGGCTGGTCATATGCTCTCAGAGGGGGCATTGTGGTTATATTGTTCTTCCACGTTCATGTCTAACATGCTGTGTGTATTATAAGCCTGGGACACATGTTTTGTGTTCGTGTCTGGCGTAGCTGTACCTGTGTTGTCGTTGGGGGTGTCTTGCTCTGCCTCAGCAGTGAGGTTGAGGAACCCGTTACCAAGGGGGTGCCGGGGGGCAGGAGATGCGTGTTTATGGGGACTAGTCGCCTGTCAATGCTTCTACCGTGTTGTCCATTCCGTGTGGTAGTCAGGGTCGTAGGGCTTTATGTCTATGTGGGTTATAGGCCCAGGGACCTGAGTGTCCGTGAGTTAGTCGGCTCAGAAGAGAGAGAGAAAAAAAACACAAAACAAAAACACAAACATATAGTAAACATGAAACATTAAGGTAATATCTGGGAGTTTCTCCTTTGTTGGGGTAATGCCGGTGTGTGGGATAATAATCGGACTCGGTCTGCTCTTGGGTTTTGCTACCCGGCAAGTGTTCGTGGAACCTGAGCCCCCAGTCCACTTGTTCCCGGGGTGTGAGGTGAGGCAGTCATGTGCTCCTTGTGTTCTCCGTGGCGTTTCGGAGCCTGGTTCGGCAGGTTGAGGGTTTTCAGGTAGTTGGAGGCTTCATCTGGCGAAGTGAGGACTTGTGTTGTCCCTGCGCAGGTAACTTCCAGGGAGCCCCCCGCTCCCCACCTGTAGGCTATACCTGCAGCACGTAGCTGTGTGGTGGCCGGGCCGTACGATTTACGCCATAGTAGCGTGGCCCTCGATAAGTCCTGGTAAAAGGTTAGCTCTGAGTCCTCAAAGGGTAGTGGTGTTCGGTCCTTGAGCGCCGCCATGATGTGGAGCTTATCCTGGACTGTGACACATCTTAGGATGACGTCTCTAGCCGCAGGGGATCTCAGGCGTGTGTAGGTCGGGAGCCTGTAGATTCCATCTGTGGAGATTTTCTTTGCAGCTGCGTGAGGAAGTATACTGGACAGGAGGCGCCTGATGTAGTGAGGCAATTCCTCTGCTGTGATTGAGTTCGGAATCCCCCTAATTTTTATGTGTGTGCGCCTTTGTCGATCCTCTATGGTGGCCATTTTGAGTGCCATGAGTTTTTGGTGATGCTGTATATTTTGTACCTGTTCATCCAGCGTTGTTAGGTGTGTTTGGACCTCCACCACGTCTTGTTCTACAGCTTTTACCCGTTCCGTGGCCGCTTCCACCTCTGTCTTGTGGAGGGCCGTGTCGGCTGCCAAGAGCTTGTGTATGTCAGCGAGCAGGAGTTTTAGATCTCCCTTGGTGGCTGGTGCAGCATCGGCATGGGATTCAGGCTGCTGTATCAGTGCTGTCTGCGTGGTCGGAGGGGTCTCTGGCCTCCCCTGCACCGGGTGAGGAGTGTGGTTTGTTTCCCCCTCATCTCCCGCGGGTATGGGTGCGGGACGTGGCTGCGCTGGGCGTTGCAGCAGCGCGCTTATGTCTCTGCCATCTGCCGCTGGTTTCTGGGATCTGCGCCCTATTGTCGGCAAGTGAGCTGGTGTTTCGGTTGGTGAGGGGGTTGGTGGAAGCCCCTCTCTCTCGGTCCGCGGCTGAAGCAGGAGTTCCTCCAGGTCCCGGATCGCGGGTGTGAGGTAGGCCCTGGATTTGTGCTTCCGCTTAGGCAGCTTTTGGGGTTGTAAAAACGGCATCTATCGGTGCCTCTTATCTTGCTGGTTCTGGCTGTGTGGTTGGTAAGCCTGGATGGGTGCCAGTTTCTAGGATATTGCCCAGATTAGATAGTTTTGTCGGGAGTTAGTGAAAAGAGCGCCTGGTGCTGTGTGGTAGCAAGCTCCGCCCCAAAAAGTATGGTTTTAAAAAGTAAATGTAGTCTATTATTTACTGAACAAGCTGATTTCAAGCAATACTTTTATACACACTGCATTATATATACCCAGTGTGACAAAATCACTATATTTAGTCGAATCGAATGCGCTCTTTTAATAGCAAAATAAAGTCTCCAAAATTTTAATTAACATTAGATTTGATGGCGCATTAAATTCAAGTACGAATGGCACATTAGATGCAACAGACATACAACGCAAATTCACGAAGGCGAAATTCACATTGCTGCGACAGGAATGCAAGACTTGGTTTCTGTGTACAGTAAAGCTGTACTTTGCATTTATGTCGCGATGTGAATTTCACCACCACCCCCCCCCCCGGTATCTCCTTGTACAAATGCACATTACATTCGCCAGCAAAAACTGGTGAAGTTTGAGACAAAAAAAAACTTCTTCCATTGTTCAAGCAACAACCTCCCCCCCCTTCTGTAATATCTGTGGAGTGGAGTATAATGAACTAACCTTTCATGCTGGTGCCATGCATTAAACAAAAACGTCCTTGTTTTTTATTTCATTTGGCATACCCAGAATGTATGGACTCTCTTACTGGCTCATTCTCACAGACGATCTGCATCCATTCCACTTGATTCATTTCATATTGAGTATTCTAAAGGATCACTTATAATCTAATTAAAGAAATATATATATAGTTCTACCCATGCTTGTCCACATTTGGCCATTAGGTGTCACCTTATATCTTTGTACACAGAGAGTGTGTGTGGTAGCAAAAATTAAGCGACCTTTTGAAATCTTAAAAGCTACCATTGTGCTTTTTTGAAAAGAAAAAAAGTTTTGTTTTTTTCTTGTGCCCCATCCTGGGTAACAAGACAACATTGAAAGGTGAATTCATACTGTATATTTCCCAAAATGTAGGGAGAAAAAAGGAGTAATATCACAAAAAATAATCTTATCTACAAATACACATGCAGACATAAAAATAGTGTTCATGAGGCTTGCAATCTAAATCTAAAAAGCCTCCCAGAGTAATTTGTCAAACCGTTATAGGTACCAGGTGAGATGTAATATCATTCTGTTTGAAGGACACCACAGCCACTAATACTTCAGCATTCTCTACTGATCATGCTAATTGAAGTGTTCCTTTTAGAGTTACATACAAATCATGCATTAAATAATCTCAGACTACACAGTCTGACCTGTACAATGTTTTAGGAGGAACAACACCCACGTCACTTTTTTTTAAATTCTTTATTTTTGTAGTGCGGGTTACAACCAAGTTTGCAATACCACGACAGCATCAGCAGACAATCATTATCATATATATTGGTGCATGGCATGGAAATACGTTGCACAATTTTTAAAGAAAATTAAGTAATGTAAAAGAAGATAATGTAGATTAGGCATAAGCTTTCACTGAGTGATGTAAACTGATTGATTATACAGGTAGTTATGTCCATAAGAATATTTTCTGAGTAGACATGCCTCACTGCACAAATTCTGTCTAGCACATACATCGCTATGGACTACACTTGAGATTAGACAAGCTGAGACTTAGACTATTCAGGCTTTTTAGTTTCAGGTGATAAAACGTTATGCTAGGCGTTGTGGATCCGAGGGTTGTTTCACTGCAGCATCGTTGGGAGTTAATTGCCATCTATGTGTAGAGGTCAAAAGAATAAAGCTGTAGGAATCAAACTGAGCTAGTATTTTCCTGTGCTGATTTAAGCTTAAATCAGAGAAAGCCCTCTAATCATGACAGAGTAAGGTAATGTATGTAATTAAACAAGAAGAATAAACTTAACAAAAAGATTGAGGGCATAATGCCCTTAAGTGGTAGCATGCAATTCCAATCGTTGAGTAGGAGGCAAAAATGCAAATAGCAGGGATATTAAAGCACAGAATATGAAATCATAGAAAGAATATAAGTACAGTTCTGTGGTAGGTTTGAGAAAACCTCCGCCTGGTGTCTGCACCTTATGCCGCGTATGGGTCTCTGCAAAGCGTACATGGCAGTAGTGATTTCTCAGGCCTAGGTATCTTATTCAGCTGATGCCTGCCAGGGGTATCCCGAAATCCTGCAATGCAGCAAGGTGGTGTTCATGAGGGTGGGTGACCCTGCAGAGTCTGTGTGAGGCGGCACTTCTTCCCACCCCGGCCTGCAATGGGACCAGTACCTCGCGTAACTGGGTGACTGCTTGAGGCTATTATTGACAGGTGTGTGTCTCTCATTGGGGTTCTGTCTCATTGGGGGAGTGTAATGGCGTTGTTGAGGTGAGGTTTCCCTTCTGCCCCTGTGCTGTGTGACAGCTGGTTCCTTCTTGCCACGAGCCTGGGATCTGCCATGGTCCATGGGCCTTCTCAGGTCACTGTCTCTTGTGTGTGTGTCGTGCTCATTTGAGGCTTTTTGCATCAGGCGGCAAGTCGGCTGTCCTTCACCCTCGCCTCCCCTAGTAGGCCCCAACTTGCTGCTGCGGTTCCCGGTCAATGCCGGGTGTCGAGTGTGGTGTCGCTGGGTTCGTATATGCTTCCCCAGTCCAGTAAGCTTTGTTGTGGGAGAATCACAGCACTGTAGCCTGAGATAGCAGCATAGTTTGAGCCTGTGCAGCAGGAGTTCATGCAGAGTACGTCCTGTCAGCTTGCTAGTCAGGCTCCGCCCCCTTTGGTGTTTTAATTGATCACCATACAAACCATGCCCTCGTACAAAGGACTAAAAGAAATAGATATTAGTTTTGCAATTCTCAAACAAAGGATGGTGCACTATGTTTTGTCACAGTGACACAAGACATATATAAAATATACTTGCTACAATAAGATTACGGATTGTAGGAACCTGCCTTATTTTGTCGTTGAATGAAAAATTGTAGGCACAATAAGGTAATAGCAGATGTATTTTTAGGAAGAATTACCTGTTTATTTTTGTTTTGTGTCATATATCATTATAATATATAAATAACCTAATCTGTTTCTTTTTCAGGGTTGGTGTGGATGCAGACCACGACCAGATGGTAAATATCTATATAATATATTTTAAATTCCCTATTGTTTAATGGGTTTCCGACTTGTGGTATTTGTGTTCCATAGACATTTGGCATATTTAAAATTTCACATTAAAGAACAAAGAATTCACATTAGAGTTTATATTCTGCATTCTTCTCAGACATTTGGCAAATGTTTAGGAATATGAAAAATATCTATAGATGAGATGAGTTTGTCTCATATTTGTGTGAGAAAATTCAAACTTGAGTTTACGTCTAAAGGTTTATCCCAAAATCTGTTTTCTAGAGTGATTACACGAACATTACTTGTGATCTAACTCCAGAGAAATGTAAAAACTTGGTAAAACATGCTTTTATTTTTCAGATGTGTGGGTGGCACTCTGAGATGTCACATATTTGCCCTCCTGAGGCTTTGTGATTTAATCACACTAGATACCAGCAGAGCTACATAATGTGATCTAGGTTAAGATTGTATACATCCCAAATTATCACAGCATTCCAAACAGTGTTTGCAGTTTGAGCTAATGACTCTGCACAGGGGAAGAACAAAATATATATTTTTAAGCCCTTGAAATATTTGTGTGCATGATGATTTAATGTATTAAGCTTCATAAGGCCTCCAGGGTCAAACGCAAATAAAATGTTTCTTCCTGTACTCCCTGATACATGGTGTGTTGTCATGCCAGTAAAGCCAAAGTGGAAGCATATTTGGAATACTGGACGCTCACTCCAGAATCTGGCTAGTTTGGCTATTTTGGCCTTATGGTTGAAATTTACGTTGCATGCTCATATTAGTGAATAACCCTGTTAATATTGTACTAATACAGTGCAGAAGACAAATAGGCTTTGGAGAGCACAGTACTCACTATTTTCTGAAAGCCTGGTCCACATTGTAGCTACAAATCTATATTGGGCATTATGGGCATTGGCTCTTGGGATGGAGCACTTTCAACAATTTAATTAAAAAAAATAGACATTCTTTGCTTCAACAAAATCACTTACACCAATGTCCGTGTCAGTAATAAAATCCTTAAAGGTAGACTAGGTAAGATAATCACTTCTTCTCATTGATGCAACTGTTCAGTATGAAATCAATCTCAATCAGTTTGACACTGAATGAGAGTCCTTGGCTGCCCGTAGCTCTGCCCTTTGGCTAATGTGGGATATAATGCCACTATAGCCATACCAATTTGTGACGCTCTCAGCCTATCAGTGCCACCCATCACTGCTTGGAATAATGTGTAAGCATTTGCCCGAGAAGCAGAGAAAACTGTTGAACATTGGACAGTGGGGCAGTGCCAGGGGATTCTGGGCACTCCAACCACTTCAATGAGAAGTGGTTATGGTGCCTAGAATGTCTCTTTTAACCCCTTAAGGACACATGACATGTGTGACCTGTCATGATTCCCTTTTATTCCAGAAGTTTGGTCCTTAAGGGGTTAAGACATCTATTTTGCATCTGCAATTTTGCATTTGTTATCCTTAGATTGAGGTTGTGAAGCAAAGGGGATTCTTTTGTGTATGTGTGTGTATATATGTATGTGTGTACATACATATATTAAAAAAATATATATAGATAGATATGTTGAATATGTATATTTGTGTTTGTACTATCAATATAATAATGTACCTATGTGTAGATCAGATGTATTAAAGGATTTAAAATCTTAACCTTCATTTACTTTTAGGGGGTTCCTGAAAACGAACGTAGAAGTACGAAAACAGAGAGTGCCTGGCTTTTTAGATTGTGGTACAACTTTGATCACAAGTATCCTTCACAGTTAATAGAGTTTGCAGCAAATCAGTCAAATGAGTTTGTGAAATCATTGCTTTTTCATACATTACTGTTTTGCTTGTAAAGCTGTAATGTACATTTAGTAAAAACCTACTTGGGATTTTTGGCAAATCAAAATCTTGGCTTGCAGGAACTTGAGATGAGGGTCCTTCTGAAACAAGTTTATAGTCTTACGGGATCGGGACATAGTTACACTGTGAGATACCAAGCTATAAAACTATCTGGGAAATGCATATCTGTGATATACAGAGTATCGGTTGTAACATGGTGGTGTGTCTGTGTGGCGGGGGAGGGAGGGGGACACTATTTAGGCTGATGCAAAGATACGAAGTTAGATTCTACTTCCTAGAGAATATGTTGCTATGGAATGTTTTATTTATTTACTCTTCCTTAAGTTGCACAGTTATCTCAAACCTCTTTTGACACACAGTGGGCCACCACTTACGGCAACACTTCCCAGTTGCTGTGGGCCAATTGCCAGATGCCTAACAAGTCCACAAGCTTATGAGGTAAACACATTCATGTTAAAACAAAATGTAAAATAAAAAAAACACAAAAGACAGACTGGCATTCTTGGTTTCTCATAAATCTGTTTGCACACCATGACAACCCTCTTCAATTCTACATTTCTTAATCATTGAAATCTATCTCAAATGTGCATTTTTCAATTGAACATCCAAGTATAAATGTATGAGGGGTATTGCTATTGTTGAAGTGATTTCTGCACAAAATCTTTGGCCTGACAGAATTAAACTGGGCTTAAATTGGTAACTTGATTATAAACTTTTTTTCACTGTTATCTTGTCACCTTCTTTGAGCTTTCTACCAGCCCCAATACTATCCACATTGTGCCCACCTCCTTTCCAGTAGTGAGGGAAATGAGTGACTAGTTATAGTCTGCAGGCTGTAGTCTATAACATACAGATTTGGTGTGTGTAAAGTGAGGGGGCTCTCCCCTTGTTTCCTTTAGATATGTGGGGATTGGTAACATTGTGCCTATAATACAATCTGATGTTTACATATTCTTTCCAAAAGAGGGTGTAGCTTATACATGGAGCAAACTCTTGTAAGTAAGCAAAGGAGCAATTTTAGGAAGTTCTGTATTGACGTTAACTAAGTAACTGCTGGTTTTTCAAGCCGAAAAGCACAAAAAGCTGATTTTTTTTTTTTTCTTATTGGAAGCTTGGCCTGCAACCCTGATGTTTGAATGCTTAACAATGTTTGTATGTTACATGTTTACAACTTGGTAGGATGATCTTAAAACATGAATTCCAATTGATACTAGTACAATCTTTTTATTTTAGAACCAGGAGCAGTTGAAAGATGATGATGATTCGGATCTCATCTTGAATGATGGCGATATAAGTTTAACATATGGAGATTCCACTGTGAGCACGGATCCTGTAACTTCCAACAGTTCTTCAAGGAGGGGCGTAGGTAACAGCTCAGAGGATGCAATCGATCGAGAGCTTGCTAGTGGAGATCATGAACTAATCATAAGAGGAACACGTCTAGTCATGGAGGAATGTGAACCCCCAGTAAGCCTTCAAGTCACCAGGAGGCCTAGCCCTATGTAATGTCGTTGGGCTGGTTGGCTGTGTTGGCAATGGAGTTTTCGTTTGTGTATTTAATCTTGCCACTATACTGTACTACCTAATGCATGGCTAAGATTGTTTGTTTGAGCTATATAAATGCTGTTTATATGGCATAGGAGGAATATCTTTTGTTTGACTCAACTTTAAAGATCAAATTCATATATTTTTTTTTTCTTCAAACCATTTGCACTTTAAGTAAAGCCATCGAAAAAAGTAGTTGCACAACATCTCCGATAATTATGAACATGTCTATCCTCGTACACTTTCCTTTTACTTGAAATATTATGTGGGGTTAATTTAACATTTATATTTTGTGTTTTGTTTGTTAATGTTTAGCTTAAGTATAGTCAATGGTAGCTCTGAGGTTGTTGTGAAATAACCCTTTATTATGCTTTACCAGTTAAATGATTATTTTGCCCTGGTTTACAATGGCCATGATTCTTTGTCAAAGCATGATGGGAGCTGTTGTTCCACAGTGGTGGAAGAGCTTTTGGTTGACTAACCCTGGTTTAAATAATATATTGTAATTTTGTTAATATTGGGCATGTTTAACTCTCTTGCTGGCAAAGGGTCTTAAATTTGATATGCAACACACTGTCGCAATTTGTGCTCTCTATTTAACTCCGTCCATTGGCTCATAATAGCCAAACCATGAGTAGCCTATTTGAAACCTAGAGACCCCTCTCTCTCTCTATCAGAGCCTGTCTGGCTTCTCTTCTGAAACACTTACAGTCAGAATGTGTCTGTCTTGTCTTGTGTTTATTTTTATGTGGATTTCTTTTTTTTTTACTTTTTACCGCCTTTTATAGAAGGAAAAAAAATAAAAAAATCAGTGTTTCCAGCCAAAAAATGTTTTAAGGAAAAAGAGTAGGGAAAAAACTGGCTTTTCATTCCAAAGTTTATTTTTACACGTTCATGACCCAAAAGAATTTTGCAATACCATAGTGGAGATTATGAAATCCTCTTGTATTTATTTTCCATCTGCAAAGCAAATGAAAGGAGACAGTTCATCCCGATCCTTCAGAGCTTATTTGTATGATACTGACCCACTCCTGCATCTGTTAATATTGTACATATGTGTACAGGTTGTAGAATAGTGTGTGCGTATATAAATAGGCCAAATAAGAAAGGACAACCCTTATAAATTGTTTCTTTCTTCTTTAATCATTTATCTCCACAGATATCCCTGTCACATGTATAACCTTTACATTATTTTGTGTGTGAATTAAACGTAACAAAAGTGGGCGTCCGTGAAATGGTGGTAAAGTGAACCTGTAATGGAAAAAATGACTTGCCGAAAATTGCTTCCATACATTTCATACACCATATATCATGAAGATTCAATGTAAAATAGAAAGATTTACTCACTTTTCCTCTGTTCCAACGCCGTGTTGTAGGTGTTACGCTTCCTTCACCTCTGTTCTTTTCTGATTTGCCCTGCTTGGGACACATCCCCAAGTAGGCAAATCTCATCAGTGACATCGGCATGCTGGCTTAATTGCCGGCGTCGAAACGTAGTGAAGTGACTTCACTCCGTTTCTATATTCCCTAACCGGGGTTTCCATAGCAACCACAGTGCATGCGCTGTGGTTGCTATGGGAGGAGAGCAGAGAAACCTCTTTTCTGTCCTCCCTTGTCAGTCAATGCCTTTACGTGCATGTTTTTAAATAGGTTTTTCTCTAAATCTATACATTTTCCAGCAAAACTGCTAGCACAATGTATAGATAAAATCTGTTGTTTGGGACATGACTGGTGCCCTTTAAGTATATAATACGTGCACGAAGAGTAAAATTACTGCTTTCTTTCTTTGGTTATTTGTGCAAGATTTGCCATTTGCTTAACTGGACCTGTCCGTTCTGATTCTTACAAATTTTTAAATCCTGACATATTCGCCAGTGCCAACTCTGCCATGATTATGCCAGGTTTGTGTATTGCACTTATGTAACTGCCACTATCCATCTACTGTCTGCTCCCCCACTAGTTTGGCTCTGTTTCTAATCACTTCCCAATTCAGGGCACACTGCCCCTCTGATTCCCAGCACAAACAAAGTAATGTCAGTCTCCTGTATTGCTCTGCAAAGATTGCTCGCTAGAGAAATAATCACAGCAACTACAGCTAATGTTTTGTAGCTGCTGTGTAGGAAAGCTGCCTGTAGGAGTGTTCTGCTTTCACTAATTGATCTTGTCTCTGTATGCTGGAAATTGACTGACAACTGACTGGAGCGACTATTTTTATTTCATTCTGTTTCGAAAATACTGCTAACACAATGTACAGCTGAAAAGTAATACTCTTTATTTTTTAATTTTTTTTTTCAACTCAACATAAGTTTGTGTACCCACAATAGGTACTCTTCAAGCATCTTTGCTGTTTATTCTCAAATGGATTGTTTAGCATTATTAAGGTGATCAAGACCTATAGGCTTGAATAATCGCCAGACTACAGCCCCCCCTCCTCCCCCCTCAACAGACTGGTCTGTGGGAAATGCAACATTAGGTTCTTATTGTTCCCTTCAAACATCAGCTACCTTATAGAGCTGTCATTAAATACATTGGATAATCCATGCCCCAGTATAATCTTTTAAGGGCAAGATTATGTGCCATGGACAGTGTTTATGTCTTATTGGCTTGCAAGTAGAATGCACTTTGTCTTTGAAGTGATTTTCTAATGTGCTTTACAACTTACTGCAAAAACTTCTGCTTGGACTGTGTCCATGAAATGCACATATTGCTTCCAAAGCCCGCCAAGCAGCACATGCAGTTACATTGATTGAAAGGAACAGTAATTCATATAAGTAAATGTGCTTTATATAAACTTACCTCAAGACAAGTTCAGTTATGTATATAATAATTCTAGCTCTTGTCTGCTCTGTGTTTAATTCTTTCAGGACGTCTGCTTTAGACAGATGGGGGTGGGGGGGAAACATGAGCTATGGAAAAAGACATTTACCTTGGTCTTTTATCATATACTAATATGCCTTGAATTAAAGGACCACTCTAGGCACCCAGACCACTTCAGCTTAATGAAGTGGTCTGGGTGCCAGGTCCAGCTAGGGTTAACCCATTTTTTTTATAAACATAGCAGTTTCAGAGAAACTATGTTTATAAATGGGTTAAGCCTTCCCCCAAAGCCTCTAGCGGCTGTCTCATTGACAGCCGCTAGAGGCGCTTGCGTCCATAGGAAAGCATTAATAATGCTTTCCTATGCGACCGGCTGAATGCACGCGCACAGCTCTTGCCGCGCGTGCGCATTTAGCCGACGGGGAGGATCGGAGGAGGAGAACTCCCCGCCCAGCGCTGGAAAAAGGTAAGTTTTACCCCTTTTCCCCTTTCCAGAGCCGGGCGGGAGGGGGTCCCTGAGGGTGGGGGCACCCTGAGGGCACTATAGTGCCAGGAAAACGAGTGTTTTCCTGGCACTATAGTGGTCCTTTAAGGTCCATGATTGTTCCGGTCAACATTGGATTATACTTGGTATTCAGATCTAATGAGTGCAAAAATCAAAATTGCACGAATATTTCTCCCAGATGTATTTTATTCCTTTTAACCTGGATTAATAAAATAAAAAGGAAATTGCAGTTGTATATTTCCTCTTAACCACAGTCAAGACATTACCTGTTTGCATGGTGTTTATACACTTTCTGCAGAACGACGTTCAGTTATCACAATTCAACCATTTTTAACTGATTTGGCTATTTACAAAAGGCAGATTGAGTTATTTCAGCTGAATTTGCACTTCCATTCATCTGCAAATCGGTTGTCTGCTTAAAATCCACCAAATCTCTGCATACCATGGGAGATTTGACTATTTACAGACAAATTTGCAACCAAGTTGCCTATATAGTATTCTTGTTCCCCCAATTTAGCATTTTAGTTGCAATACCCCTGGTCTAAAATATTAATGCTAAACTACTTTACTGCTTCTCCAAACCTTCTTAATTCTTAAAGATGTCTAACCGTATAATCCTCCACCCCAATCTGCATTTACATTAGAGGCATTTATAGTAGAGACATTCATATATAATTTGTAGGCAATTTGGTTGGAATTCTGTTTGTTAATTTGAGCTGAATTAAAATTAATCTTATTGCAGTAAGGAGATCCATTTGATTTGATTAGCATTTTTTCTGTTGAGCCAGAGAGGGATTTTAACAGCTGGATGCAGGGTAATCTTGCTGATTTGAAATGAGACAAATTTGCCTAAGCAAACAAGATATTTATTGAATAGGCCCTTACTGTGTCTGCAATATTTGCCATTATTTATCCCCACTGAAAAGCGTTGTGGCATATGTTAGCACTGTATACATAATGAGAATAATAAGCTGTAGTGGTTATTGTGTTTGGACTGTCCCTTTTAACATTTACATGCGCAGCGTTTGGTTGAAATCTTCTTGCAAATATAACCTTTCATTTTCTTCAGAGCTATAAATAAAGTTAGAATTCAGTGTGTGTTTCTTGACTGGAACATAAAAACATTAAAAGTCCATCAATTTAGAGTTTGGGATTTAATTAGCAACAATTTGAAGTTTAGTGATTAAATTACCTAGCGTTTTCTGTTTGTGTGCTGGAAATTTGCCAATTTGCCCCCCCCATGTCCTGAATTGGCAATTCCTTTACTGCTATTAAAAGGAGGCCTCCTGGAACAATAAAAGTAAAAATAGGCATGTTCCGTAAACTTTTTTTTAATGTAAATATTTAACAATTTCTTAAAATGTGATCCTTTTCTATAAACTGAACCTAAAATGCATCAACAAACTGACACATTTTACATTTGAATCTTGTACAATGCATCTTTGATATAATCACAACTTTCAGTTATCATAGTTCAAAACACTGCAGATTTGAATATTCCTAATAATGGAGTATTTAATTCATGATTTAAGCCCATTGTCCTAAAATTGAGGTTACTTAGCTCTAAACAGTGCGAGGATCTTGTCGCAGCTCCTTTCCGTCCCCTAGTGAGGATCTCCAAGGCCTAACTAAAACGTATAACAGAGAGGCATTGGGAGCAATCGCTGCTCTGCTCCAGTAGAATGCTTGTCATAGTCTCATAGAGAAGCATTGAATCCATCTATGAAAAGCATGGTGTTAGCAATCACTAAGAATAAAGACAGGAGAAAGTTACTTGGGACATGTGTTGAAGTGGTGAAATCTCCAAATAAGAAAGAGCCAGTTTAAAGCACTTCAGCAAGCTGAAGTGTTTAAGATGTCATAGTGTTGTTTTTTTGTTTTTTACCACCACCACCACCACTACTTTTTTTTCCCAGTCAATATATTATATTGTCAAAATTGTCTTTTATTGATCCTGTCCATAATTTTTTTTTCTATTTTTTTTTTTTTTTTTTTTTTAATCCACAAAAGTCATTGTTTGCATTGTTTGACTGTTTAGCTGAAAACTAGATATTTTAATGAAGCCTATTATTTCGCACATGCATTTCCGATCTCAGCTTATTGGGTCTTACATGAAATGTTTTGTCTGCTTCTTGTCACTTTTTATTCAGGTTTGGCAAAGTAATGACCTAAATCAGGGATGGGATCTCCTGTAGGCTGGAAAAGCATCATAGGAGTTAGTGTTCCAACAGATGGTGAGATCAGCCTGTTGGCCACCCATGTGCCAAATAGCAGTGTTTGTTGAGATTTACCAGTAGTAACATGAATCCTTTACATAGGAGATTAAAGGGAATATGGAGTGAACAAATGAGGTGCCAAACTAATAGAAGTTTATTTGCCAAACCGCTAATTGTAATGAATTGAAAACCAAATTGCAATATTTAAACAGAAACATATTTGTGAAAATTCTGCAACTCTGCCACAGTTTCTTTTAGCCTGAATTTTGCATTTCTCTTTACAGATCATGAAAGTTCAGTGAATAAACCCCTTAAAGCAATAGATATTTACAGCTCAGTTTTATAATCAATCTCCCAAACCACACCTCTTTTAAAGGATCACTCGGTACCTTAACCACTTCATTTTCATTAAGTGGTAATAGTGCTTGAAGTTACTGGCACCAATGATTTAACACCGAAGTGGTGTTCCTAGGTGCCAGTCAATGGTATTTCCATTGTCTAACCATTGGCTTGAGCAATCAAGGTGCGTCAGAGATAAGCCACTTTGATGGTTGTGCTAATGCTTTGGGCTAAGACAGGAGTCTGGGAACAGTATTTCTGTGTTAAACTGTTCAAAAATTTATTTACAATAGAAAGCAAGACAGAGCTTTGAAATTTTATGCACCATAATCACTTAATTGGTGCCCAGAGTGGTGTTTTACACATGGATTTGATGGATACATAGAATGTTTTTTTTTTTTTTTTTTTTTACAGACGAACATTTTTTTTTAAGTGTTAAATCCAATGAGTGCCAGAATGTGTGTAGCCAAGATATTAATTCTATAATTCAGTGATATGATTGGAGCTTATATTCTATAATCCAAGTGTCTAGATGTATGAGAGAGTCCACATATTCAGCAGGGAGACCTGTACAAGTGATGCTTCCTTTTAAAATGTATCAAAAATGAAAATGTGTTCTGTTTTCTTTTGGTTTGGTTTTTATTGTATTCTAGAGCATGTGAACTTTTATTTTTGAGCATCACAGCGTCTCTGGCATCTTTAAATACTCTCATGTCCTGGTTCAGCCAGGGAAGATTGCTTTTTGACTTTTTCCCGGTTTGTTGATGGATTGAATACCATAATTCTGACTTCTAGAGCTGTGTCTTTGCAGTACAGATATATTGCTGGTTCTGATTTCAAAGTATTTTGGAACTAATGACGCACAAGTATGCTGCTTTGCATTCTTAGAACACTGAAGTAGGGTCAGAGGCCTGTTAAGCATAAAATACCTGTTATTTCTAGATAGTGTTCTCTACTAACCTTAGCAAAAAAAAAAAAAAAGTATTACTTTCTGGTAATGGTACAGGACCTGAGACTGCCCTAAGGTTAGAAATTCAAATTTGGTGTAATATTTTATAATAATCACTGTGTAACAGAAGTACTGCTTTACTTTTAAAAGCAGCTTTTTTTTTTAAGTTTTGTGTGTGTGTGTCTTTTTTTTTTTTGTGTGTGTGTGTGTTTTTTCACTGCCTGCTATGCAGGAATTTTGGAGATCATTCATGTCTTATCTCATACAATCCATTAAACTGCCAGGAATACTAGGTACTATAGTGCTTATGTTGTCAACAGCATAAGTGATAAAACAAATGGATTCAGTCCCTAAATGGGAGATTGTGGGGAAAATGTCTCCATCTGGTCAGTGTTACGTCAGTTTTTCTAATTAATGCACCACAGTTAGCCATTTAGTAAAACAGATCCCCATGTGTGTCTCTCTCTTTCACTTAAATCATTTACACTTCATTTTTATTTTCTCCAATGTATAAAGTCTGAATTGTTTGGTGTATTGTGTACAGTGGTTGTTTAGTTTTACAAACTGTTTATTAAATGAATAATTTCTGTTGGAATTTTTTTTAAATAAATATTGTGCTCTTACAGAAAAAAAGGTTATTTTTATTTTTTTGTGCATAACTTAAAGGGTTAATCCAACCACCATAACCACCTAGATGATTTACAGTGGTTATGGTGGTAGGAGTTTGTATGTGCAGCATTTCTGTTAAAAACGATGCAAGTACAGAGAAATCTGCACTTTTGTGCTGGGCGCTAGTTCCACCGCTGGTACACGTGACAATCAATTAAGGGCATATTTTACACCCGTCATCGTCGACGTCCTTAGCTTCTACCCTTGCAGGCAGTTCTGTGCATAATTTACGTCTTTTGTCAGCGTGCACAGCAAGAGATTCTCCCTTGCAAGCAGTACGACAGCAAAGGAAATCTTTGCCCTACCACCATCCTTCTTTCATTGCCAGTTATAAGGAGCCTTTGATTGGACCACATGAGGCCATTGATGATGTCAGAAGAAAAGCAGCAACAGGAGCTAAGCCCAGCTCTAGATTTACAAGTGAGTTTTCAAGTCTTATTTACGGGTTTAAAAGGGGGAGGCCTAGCCAGTAATGCCCAATAGGGCACTTTTTTTTTTTTTTATATTAAAAAAATAAATAGTAAAAAAAAGTGTGTTCTATATAGATCTTGAGGAAGACGCGAATGGGTCGAAACATCGATCAGATGGATGTAAACTTTTATATGGATTAAAGTACCACTTCACTTTGTAAAGACCACAGAGTGCATCTCTTTTTTTCAAATAATATATGTGTGTGTGTGTGTGTGTGTGTATATGTATATATATATATATATATATATATATATATATATATATATATATATATATATTTATTTATTTCCATATGCCTGCTCTCCAGTAGGAATTCTCTTTAGGGACCGGTGCTTGTCCACAATAACATATAATTGTATATAATGATAGGACTCCGTAAAGGTGAAAAAAATTCAACTTACCCTTTATCTTTATTCAGGTTGTTGCCAGTAAAATCAATTAAAGCTGGTTTGTTGCGATACAAGCCAATCTTACACAAATTTGGTTTTACTGGCCATTAGTGATGTCGTGAACCGTTCGCGAACTTGCCGCGAACTCCGGTCAGCTGACACATCCCTGCCAATCTCCGGCAGACCCTGCCTTCAACATGGATGCTGTCCAGGAAGTAGGAGGGTCTGGGAGGGAGGGTCTGCTGGAGATTGGCAGAGATGTGTCAGCTGACCGGAGTTCGCCGCGAACGGTTTGCGGCAAGTTCGCGAACGGTTCGCGACATCACTACTGGCCATATATTGGAATATATATGAGACCCAGACCCATCATGTTTAGCCTTTCCCACCTCTCTGTTTCTACTGTTGATACAGAAGTCGATGTTAAAATAAATGCGATTGCAATCACTAAATAGGGAAAATGTTAAATTGTTCTTGACTTAAAGACTGACTTCTAGGATCAGCAAGCAGGATCAAAAACACGAAGATGGGGTAAGCCAACAGTACATATCGATCAGTATATCACATGCAATCTCTGTATCATTTAATAAGCGGTATCCTCCTTGAGAACTCTGACTTCACCTTTTGAAACTGCACAAAAACATATTTTACACCTTTTATGTCTCACACTTTGAGTATATGCATACTAACATGTATGGTGGAGAGACCCTCTGGTTTTACTCAGATGCTCATTAAAAAATGATAGTACATTTGGCACACTCCCACAGCGGGGCTAACCATACCAGCAGCGATTTTTATGTAATCTTCACCTGATTATCATTCTATCCTACCCCATTATTGCAGTAATCTTTTGACCACGCCCTAGTCTTTTATTCATATTATTTTAAAACTGTTCTAGATATAAAAGCTAAAAATGTGCGGTTCTGTTTCGGCACCTTTATGCTTCGTGAAATTTTGACCCAGTTTTGATTGATAATACTGTGTCTTTACATGCAGATGTTATACTGCTATGCACTACTAAAAATAAAGGAAAATGAAAGTTCATACTATTAAAAAAATAAATAAAAAATAATTAACAAAATTTTGATTCTAACTGTATAACGTTGATGGCATCTGACCAGTAATATTAATATCAATGCTTAGTTGGTGCTGGTATAACTTAAGGATATCAAACTTTAAAGGTTTTATCATTTTTTTTTTTTTTTTTACATATAGCTGAGGCACCGTAGAATGCTTAGCATTGGAAATTTCTAGCACATCTTTTGTTTCTCTGTTTTATGTTATTTAGGGCATTAAATTTGTAATTGTTTTTTTATTAGTTTTATGTGAAATTAAGTTTTAATACACAACAGCTAGTAAGGGAAAAAACAAAGGTGGAACGCATAGTGCATTCTGCTCACGTGACCGGATATAACGTGGTGTAACAGGAAGAACACAGCGACAGACAGGTGGAATGCAGGATGCGTTCCACTGGACAAAAAAAGAAAGCAAAAACGATCTACAAGCTGTATATAAGAGAATACATGGACACAGTAGTACTACTTTCACCAACTGAGGAAGCCACACTTGGCGAAATGCGTTTTGGTGAATATTTGGACATTATTTTAAGCTCAATTTTCTATGTATTAGTTTATTGAAATACATTTGTTTACCCTACCTGTCTCCTGCAACCTATCATTTCTGGGAGAACATTGGATCATCTTCATACTATCGGCTTTGGGATTTGGATCACCCAGAAAAGATCCTAAGGATATCCACACCAGAGCCAGGTCTAGGATATGGCTCTACTCTTGTGAGTGTGGTTTATAAAATCCACCTATGTGTATGTTTTAAAAAGATAATCTGCACTATTATATACCCATCTATCCTTTTAGCATTGCTGGTTGTACGAAGCAGAGAGGGAAGTATATTATTTGCTCCACATAATGTGTTTGTGTATTAAATGCTTAAAGGTGTAGGGGATACCTCACAGCTGTTTTTGAGCTTATCACTACTATTAGATATACTATTTGCTTCTGTTTATGCTTTTTTTGAGTAAGATCCCTGATTCCTGGTGAGCGATAATGTTTATATCCGTGATTCTTCCATGATTGGCTGCTGCGCTTGCTCGGCAACTAATTGATAATGCGGTATTGCAGGGAGTTTACATCCACAGATGCTACACATGGATTCAAAAGGAAGTGATGTTGTGAACCAGATGCAACATAACCCCCAAGACGCCATCTTTGTTTTCTTCGTTTAGGGCAAAGTGACATGTAAGCTTATAGGCTGTGGAGGTGAAGCAGCAGTATTTACCGTCGCGTCACTTCCTGTAGAACCCCCTCTTGCTATCCTGAATTATGGCGTCTTCCCTCTTGTTGATTGGCGGAGATAACCGTCAAGATGCATCACAGTAGTTTCATACACAAACTGTCTCATGCGAAATAGCCTTTTATTATATACAATTCCCGAATCGGGTTGTACTCATTAAAACAACCACAACAAAATATATCAAAAATAAAAAAGGGGGAGATAATATAGGAGTCACGCAAGTCACATGCAGGGAAGTGTGACTAGGCTGCATAAACAAAGTGATTTAACTCCTAAATGGCAGAGAATTGAGGAGTGGGACTGCAGGGGCATGTTCTATACACCAAAACTGCTTCATTAAGCTAAAGTTGTTTTGGTGACTAAGTTACGACTGGCACGGAGCAGAGAGGCAGAAAAAGAAAACAAAAATAGTGGAAAGGTACTAAAGGAATTAAGAGAGAAGGAAAAAGTGGGAAAATTCCAATAGAAAAAAATATTTTCCCACACACCCCATCAAATTACCATACTGCCTGCACACAACAGACAAACTGACACTCCACTGAAATGCACCTCACATTCACACACTGACATATCATAGAAATTCACCTCACATTCATACACTGACACTCCACTGAAATGCACCTCACATTCACACACTGACATTTCATAGAAATTCACACCACATTTACAAACTGACATTTGACAGAAATGCACCACACATTCACATACTGACACCATATAAATGCACTTCACATGAGGCTTTTCAGACTAAACTGAATTCTCCAAAGTACAAGAAAGTAAAACCGTTTATCCTCTATTCTGGCTGGTTAATAGTAGTAATGGGTCCACTTTAGGCTGCACCAAAAAACACTAACAAATTGAGGGGATGCAATGCTGTGAAAGAGAGAAAAAAACCTCTACTTACAGTGTTAATTATTAAAGTAATAATTGCTGGGAATTCCAAAATAATCCAAATGGAAGCATAGCGGACTTGGATAATGTTATCAGTTTGACTATTTTGGCCTTAAAGGAACACTATAGTCTCCTAAATTACTTTACCTAAATAAAGCAGTTTTGGTGTATAGATAATTCCCCTGCAATTTCACTGCTCAATTCACTGTCATTTAGGAGTTAAATTACTTTGTTTCTGTTTATGCAGCCGTAGCCACACCTCCCCTGGCTATGATTGACAGAGCTTGCATGAAAAAAAATAATGGTTTTGTTATGGGCAAATGCAAATATTACAAGTTTTAGAATGAAATGTTGTATTTCTTATTCTGGAGGTAATCTGAGGTATTCAGGAGGATAAATAAAAAGTTAAGATTCGTTTGATTTAAATTATTCACCTCATTGGAATGGCAGACTTGGTTCAGTGTAGTAGTTGTTATGCATTTGTTTCACGTTCCACTTTTTGGAGGTTTGGTTGTTGTCTAATCTGTAGACCGTTCTCTATCTTGCGGCAGGAGATTGTATTCTTGAAGTCTGAGATTTGAAAATTATTTGATAAACAAACTCAGACTGAAACTGCTGCAAAGCCACTGCCGCTGAGACATACTAGGAATGGCAGATGGATTACTGTAGGATCTGGTAGACTTAGAGTTGTGGATAAAAGGCATATTGCACAGTCTGTTGCTCTACATAATTCATTTTCTGCACTTTCAGAGTGTAATGGTGTTGTGGAGAGAGGCTAGTGGTGTTGTGGAGACCGGCTTGCAGACTATGGTGAGGCCTAATAGAAAGCAGTTGTTGTTGGGGGATTCCATCATAAGAGGTGTGGAGATGGACAATGGTGGTCTTGTGAGGTGTCTTCCTGGAGCTACTGCTCACAGAGACAGGAGACATATCTGTAATATTGTTAAGCGAGGAAAGCAGGAAGGGGAATTGGATGTACTTGTCCATCTAGGGACAAATGACTTGGCTTGCAATGAGGTTTCAGAGGTTAAGGAAGTTTTTAGTGTTTTTGCCATTGATATACGGCAGGTTGCTTCCACACTGTCATTCTCTGAAGTTCTGCCTGTGTAACACTCAGAACGACAGGCAGATGCGTGTTAGGGACTTTAACTTGTGGCTTGGTGAATGGTGTCAGGAGCAAGGATTTGGCTTTATTTCTCATGGTAGCTCTGTTTAGAATGGAAATAACCTGTACAAAAAAGATGGTTTGCATCTTTCTCAAAAGGGAACAAATGTTCTCAGTGAGCAGCTCAGAGGTTTTGCTAGGATGTATTTAAACTAGGAGAGGGAGGGGGGGAGCAAAAGGGTGATAAAACATCAATCCAATTGTCCCCCAAAACAAGGACAGAAGGTGCCTGTAGCAAGTGTGTTTAAAAAATAAGCTTAGAGTCATGTCTACAAATGCTCGCAGTTTAGGGAATAAGATCCATGAACTTGTGGCAATAATGTTAACTGAAAGTGTAGCTTTAGTCGCTGTTACTGAGACATGGTATAATGAGAAAAATGACTGGGACATAGCAATACCACGGTACTCTTTATATAGAAAAGACAGAGAAGGCAAGAAAGGGGGAGGGGTGGCCCTGTATCTGAAGAATAGCATAATATCTAGCCTAATAAAAGTTAGTGAGACAAACATAGAGTCCGTTTGGGTTACGTTAGAATTTGGTAATCACACAGTAACTTGTGTAGGTGTGATTTATAGGCCCCCAGGACAAATTGAAGAGTTAGATAATCTACTAGTTGAGGAAAATAGCTAAAATGACAATGAAGGAGGGGAAGTTATCATCATAGGTGACTTTAATCTTCCTGATGTGAATTAGAAAACAAAAATAGCTGCTTGTGCCAGGAGCACACATATTCTGAACTCCTACTGGGATTGTCTCTAAAACAAGCTGTTGAGGAGCCAACTCGTAAAGAGTCCATACTAGATTTAGTGTTAACAAATGGAGATTTGGTATCAGATATTACTGTAGGTGAAAGTTTAGGATCCAGTGATCATCAGTCAGTGTGGTTTAATATAAGAACAGTGACTGAGTCACACCACACA